ATATCGTCGAACAAGTAAAATAGATAACGCGAGACATTAAATAAATTCCTGTTTTATCTAGATAAAAATCTCGACCAATCGGTACAGGAAAGTGCTCGTAAAATTCCGATAAATACAATTCCTAGAACGCGATTCGCGATCAAATAAAATTTACTGTAATATCGTGCTTAACCGTATGTTAAACGTTTAAACATTTTTTAAATAAAAATAAAAACTCGTAGAGTCCAGGAAAGATGGGAATTTGCCTGTGTGGCCTCAGCGACCCCAGGATTGCCTACGAAGGGTTAAACGCACTCGCCTCGGTGAACAAGGTATCTCGGACTCTCCAGTCTAGTCGGCTAACTAGTAAATTTTATTCGAGAACAAGTTTCGCTCAATAAAATTGTTGAGTTCGTACGTCGTTGCTATTCGTAGGCCAGCACCCTAGGCGTAAATTATTGTTCGAAACAGTGTAGGATTCTCGATAGGCTCAATGACACCGAGCCCCGACGGCGAGGAAACGTTGACGCCAGTCGTGTTGATACGGTTATGTGCACGACTGGCGTAGGTGAAGGTTTCGCGTTATAATTCCTCGCGTCGAGCGTTCGCATTGTTGCGTATTCGCGTATCAGCAGAACGTGGAAATACGATGTCGTATAAATAATGTATTAGCAATTTTTACGCTTGGAATCTTTCGCGCGATACTCATTGGCGTCTTGAATTATCGAACAAACTTTTATTGCAATAGTCTACATATATTTCGTCAGTATTTTGAATCCGATCGAGACAAGATCGGATCGATTTGTATTTACATTGCACTGTTGGTTCGAGCAATGACCGTACGCGTTCGATCAGTAACAACGTTTAGACCGGAGAATTCAATATAATTATTCCACGCTCGCAAAAAAAAACATATAGACGCTCGGTATGATTCAACTGTAGTTCCAAGGAAAGAGAAGAAAACTGTATTAAATTACGAACGATACTTGTACGTTATACATAACGTGCATATTTTGATCGTTAAAAATTTAGTGGTTGACCGACGAAACAGGGACAAACGATAAAACGGTAACGAATGTGTTAATCACTTGATCGTGCACTTTAACGTTTAGTCGTGATATTTACCTACTTATTCAATATCTTTTCTGTGACATAATTCTTTCAAAGATTACTCACGTTTAAGTAATAAGTTGTATAATATCGCTTGGGATTTAAAGTTGCGCCGTAGCTGTGGGTATTTAACCGACACGCCGAACGCGATGAAAGAAAACAAGTGTTTAAATACCTGTCATCGTGGAGGCGCTTCAGATCGGTCATCTCGCGCTCAAACTTAAATTTTGACACCTCGCAGAGCAGGGCGTCCCGTTCGCCGATCACCTCCGTGAGCTCACGTTGTAGCCTCTCGATCTCCGCATATTGCCGGCTGATCAGTTGGTTCTTCTCCTCGAGGATGGACTCGACATCGGGGTCCAGGAGACCGGCCGGGTCACCGACACTACCCAGTACCGCACTCATACCGTTTGTTTACTTTCACTGAGGCGCGCACACACACGTTTCGGGTCGACACTGTCTCGTTCGGTGCCTGCTCGCCTCGCAAAACGTGTCTTTACGGCGATCGGCGTAATCACGAACTGCACGCGCGTCGGCTATCAGCACGCGGCACACGCAGAAACGCCCCCGGCCCCATACCACCGCGAATACCACACAGAACGGACGGTTTGTCCGTGAAAAATTTACGATTATCCATCGACGACGCAACACCGTTTCATCGCGTACTCGCCATCTTGCGTCTCTTGCCACCTCTCGGTCATGCCAGTCCCGATTCACGATCGTTCCTGTTCCATTTCCACTGGATCGTTTGTCCAGAAATACGCCGCCAACCGCGCACGCGTACTCCGCCTGGAACTGGAGTGGCGCCGCCGACGGCAACGCCATCTGGAAACAAAACACACAACTGACTTGCACCTTTCCTTCGGCTCGCCGCTGCGTCAATATCCATATAAGACGAACTTTACAGAATAGTGCTGCAATGTTGCAGTTACATTTGCAACGTTACGGTGACACGTTTGCGCAATATTCCGTCGAATATATCTTAAAAACATTCTAACAACAACATGTGCCGATTATTACGAAAGCGGTCTAAGTCGTACATTTCCCATTCCGAGATATGTAAACGGTTTCTGTCGACCACATTAAAAAGTATTTAAGGTCATTAAATTTCACGAATAACTTGCATGAAAGTGCGTGTTTGAACGGTCCAATCACTTATGCCACTTTCAAAATTAATACTATTAAGTTTGACTGAAAACATAGTCGTCTTTTTTGGTTGGTAACCGAGTACCCCATATGTTATATTATTCGGTAACATTTTGCAAACTAGTATTGAATATTCAAGCAATCTTATCGCTGAAAATATTCATACGCGTGCCACGTTATGCGAATACAGTTTTTCCTTATATAATTGCGCATATTAGAATTCAACGAAATCAACTTTACTTCTTCGTTTTCAAAAAAGAATATAAACCAGCGTTTTTATGAACCGTTAACGAGCTATGCTTTTTGTAAAATAATAAATTTCACGAGCGTTCTGTTTTTATAGTCTCCTCGTATTCAAGAATTTCAGAATAAACTGAGATTAATGCGGAAGCGTAAAACAATATTCGGCTGTACAAATTTACAAATTTCATTTTATCTTTGCAATCCTACTTTATACCTTTATTTGCCAAATTCCTATTGTTCAAATGCTATATCGCAGAAATGTTTCTCGATACAACGTATTCTCCGAATTTAAATTTTATTACAAAAAGAAAAAGTATAGAAAAGTATGCGACACCTAAAATAGATCCCTGCAAGCATGGTCTCGCGCGACGTTTCGTACTTAAAACATGCTCTTCATTACACCGAGTGGTCTGAAGCCTCGTACATTCTTGAAAAATAACAAGAGTAAACAAGGTTGCAGAGAGTGTACTTTGACCGTAGCACTACATTACAACTTCCGTATTCTGTTACAATGTAACCAAAAAAATACTAATTTAAGAAATATGTGTAAAAAATTCCGACAAAAGTTGTATAGTTTTTCGCCAAAAATTGATCCAAATGGAACTAAACACATATATGCAATTTACAGTCGAATACTCCCTTAAACGTAGTTAAAGGTATTAACACGTTGACTGCCATGGTGGTCACTGGTGACCGGCACTTTAAACTTACACTACCTAATGTTTATAAAATTGTAAATAATGCCACTTTAATTAGTAATGCTGTAAAATAACAGGGTATACCATTCAATTTATTATTTAAAATGGAAAACTGATGTGACAGTCAACAAATTTCATTAACCAAATTATGTATAATAAAACCGAAGGTTAACAAAACATTATGACACAATTAATTTGTCGATCGATAGAATTACATAATTACCTCAAAAGAATATATTACCCCTCGTAATAAATTTAAATAAGCGTAAAACTTGAATAACGTGCTTCGAAATTATTAACATAAATTAAGTCGGTTTAAGTAGACTGCACGTTGCAGAGGTTATCTATTTCAAATATTCGTTTAAATAATGGAAAATCGAAGTAATAATATTTTTATAAGTCATTGAATCGTTACTGTCGCAGAAAAATCTAGTTCCATTCTACGTATTTGTGAAACTCGCGGAAAATCTGGTGATACCATACAAGCAAGCACGCGTTCTCCACATTGCAAAAATAGGTTATCTTTCTACGCCGCATTTCACTTCGTACTTTCGTCCTGGTAGGCGACTGGTACATGCTTTGCTCGTGCAGTTTGAAAGAGAGAAGACAAAGAAAAGAAGGAAACATCGAATTATTTTGTTAAATCCGGATTATTTTTCCGTGTTTGTTGCTGCGTAGGTGAAAGGACGGAAAACCAAGGACGACGTACTGCTTGTGATACGAGATCGACAACCAAGAACAGGGAACACGTCTGTCCTTTAACCGTAGCGGGCTTTAAATAAAACGCGTGACTGCAATACTGAGATAACAGAATTTTCGTCATACGCTCGAGATAATGTTGTAAACAAGGCAAAGGAGGATGACAGTGTTTTTGGGACAGATTCGAATCAATGCGAGTAACGCGAAATATATTTTCACGGGAGTGATGTTTAGGTTATCCCATTGGATTATCGTCGATATTGGCACACGATGAAATACCATGGATATTTCTCACGACAAACTTTCTGATTTTACGGTCATTTTTCGTCCGATGGAACTTTTACGAATGTCTTCAGACATGGTTAACGTGTTCGCGATAATGAAAGCGGCGTGCATGACTTGAATCAGGTTAAGTCGCTCCGAAGCGTTGTCCGCATTGTTACCCAAGAAGTTGTTGCTCGGATTACTGCAAAAAAAAAAGTTTGTAAACGAAACCATCCAACGTTTCGTTTTTCTGTGTCGACGAATGTCAAATTTATGTTACGGTACGAAAGAAGGTGATCAGTTTCAAATTTGAACGTGTAATGCAACGTGTATGGCAAAGATACAAAATCGCAAAGTTACAGTGAAACCACAAGTCATAAGTGGGAAATCGTCGAACCGAACGAGACAAAAGAAAATATACCGTCTAATATCCGAATTTCGTTAAGATATTACCGATTGTTTCATTGTTACTATAATTTTTACTTGAGAAGTAAAATTTGTTACATACGATTTGTAGATTTAATATCGATTTTAAAAGCAGTTAATAAAATTAAGGCAATTTTATTTATTGGCACAAACGAAAAGAAATGTTTGTTTTTCTTAGATAAGAATTCAAAGCAATATTAGATTTAATCTTCCAAGTGCGGTGCTATTAAAATAACACAGACAGTTGTATAATTTATTAATATTTTGAATATTAATTTATATTTATTTTGAAGCATTGTATAGATATTTAAAGAAGAAAAACAAATGATCTGTTTGCTGTATAAGTCTTCTAATTAGTATTTTTACTTTCTAAATTGACGCAAGCTTGTTTTATAAAAACTTTATTGATGAAATCTTTAATGTTTACTAGTATTAAAATCTTGTCCATTTAACAAGTAACATTATGCTCTTGATACCTTACAATTTTATCGCATTAATGTTAAAAGTCATGTTATTCATGCGTAAAAGCAAATTGTGACAAATAGAATAATACTGAGTGCTAAGCTGTGATGTTATGTGGTATACTTTGAATACAGTGTTCGTGCCATTCCTTTCGTACATTAGACATTGGCTGCGATTAATATCTTGTGAACATCCTCATGAGAATTATAGAAATTTAGAACTTCTTTAGGAAAAGTTGCCTTTTAGTAGAAATTTCAATAAAACGGTTTGAAAAACTTCAATCATGACAGAAATCACCCTTCAAGATTTACAAAAACTTCTCATATACTTCTCGAAAAACACTTATCGAGCTAAGGATGCGGACAGCACGGTAATAGTTTTATAAGAGTGTTGTTATAGCTTGCATTCCAAGGTCTCCAATTCTAAAGGATATTATTGTTCTAGAGTCAAGCAATTATGCAAAGATGTCTGCTACTCACTGATTTAGATTATACCCACTCCATAATAAATAATAATGGAGGTGATCTCAGTGCACACTATCCTAGCCATCTTATCATTTTAGAATATGAGAAGTATAGAAATCCAAATATGTGTGATACGCCGCCACCACTGCCACGCGCAACAGAAACTATATACGAAAGCATGTATGATCCAAATAAATTGAAGGAATTGATAAAAAGTGCCAGATTTGCCAGGTGTCGTTCAAGATTTCCACTGCCAGTAATATTGTATAAGGGTAGACACGTATGCAGATCAGCCACGTTGTCCGGCGGACCAGAGATTTATGGTAGATCTGGACTAGATTATTTATTTGCCGGTAGTGAAGGAGTAGTATCTATTCAGCAACAAGTGGACGAAGCTCGTGCGAGCGATTCTGTGCTTTGTGATTGGCAATTATTTGATAAAGTTAGGCATCAAGACATCAAACTTCTAAAAACACTTAATGTAGGAACAATTATTGATTTCATGGTTGAGAAGAAGAAGGTCAAGTTTGGAATGAAGTAAGCTAATCAATGTGAATAATAACTCTTTGTGCATGTATTTTTTTCAAAAATTAATAACTTAACACCAGTAATCCACTTTCCAAATACTTTTTGTTATGTTTTTTTCTCAACCCTTAGACGATTGCACGAAGTGCTTCATTATCTCCATATATTGTTAATAACTTGATAATTTAGCTGAATTAATATTTATTATTTTAATCTCTTTAAATTAAATAATTCAAATCTCCGATCGATTAAAAATCCTAGACGATGCTTTACGCATTTAACGCATTATATATTGGCGCGAGCAAGCAAAATTATGAATTCTATTTTTAAAATATTTATAACGTTACTTATTCTAATAAACGATCATTATTTAATTAATAATTACAGCAATATTATTATTTTCCAAAAAAACACGGCGCATTAATATCGCATAAATGAATCAATTGGTAACAATGTTAGTGTACTTGAAAATGAGATAATAATGTACAATTGTACTTTCTTTTTTATTTGGAGTTTTTAAACATTTAATTCTAACTAGTCTTGTTGCAACAATATAATCATTCAGAGGCAAAGAAGAATGCTGAACATAAAATAATTACCACACAGTTTTCTAGTTCTTCACAGATTCGGTTAAGTTTCATAGTAGTTAATAGCATGATCAGTTTTTTTTTTATTCTATGAATCCATTTTTAGAGGACGTTAAACAGAGACTCTTTTGTTCGGTACTCAGTGTAACTTCCTCGGAGAAAGTAGACAAAGAGAAGAGGTACTCAGACTTCACCCTAATTTCACTGCCGTATCCTGGATGTGAATTCTTCAGGGAGTTTAGAGAAAACGATTATCTGGCTAAGGGTTTAGTGTTCGATTGGTCTCAGACACATGTAGATGCACAAATTGGTGTGCCAGAAGATTCAATTTCTACTCAATTGCGAATTAATTGGGAACAGTACCAAGTCTGGGATCTAGTCAAGCTTTCTCAAAATTATTTAAAACTGATATTACGATACTTGAGCGATAGTAGTAGCGGAATGTTGATACACTGTATCTCAGGTATTTATGTTTTTTTTTTTAGCAAACAATGCAATTTCTGGCTTAGCGAATATTTGATATAAATAACGAGAACCGTTTACAGGTTGGGATCGCACACCTTTATTTATTTCACTGTTGAGGATAAGTTTATGGGCCGACGGTGCAATTCATACGTCGCTGAACGCGTATCAAATTCTGTACTATACGATAGCGTACGATTGGATGCTGTTTGGTCACGATTTGGAAGATCGATTAAGCAAAGGAGAAGAAATATTTTTCTTCTGTTTCTATTTTCTAAAACACATCCACGACGAAGAATTTAGCGTTCATCCGCGCCACAACAGATCCAGACACGCGGTTCTACGCAACGATAGTGACTCGCAATTAGATAATGTTATGTTCGATAGTGAATCTGTAGTGACCCTAAGCTCGGTCAGCTCCAACTTAAGTCTGAATAGTTGGTGTAGCTCTGTTAGTCAAAATAGCAGGGATAGTCAAGATAATAATCCACCAGCGGTGTTTCACTGTGCTTCCACAGAGAATCAAGACGATTGTCACAGTAACGGGTATGTTTACTTCTAACCGTTTAATTTGTTATTATAAAAGCACATACGGATATATGCATATAGGGGGTCGTATAAAGCTTTAATCATTGAAGTTTTAAGGCTCAATCTTCAAATAAACCAGTATTTGAAGCTTGAGGCTTAATTTCGTTCTCCTTAATTTTGTAAAATTTCTTTACAGGAATGTTGTTCCATGGTCATTCTATCCTTCCCCAAATAAGGAAGGTATTGCTCATGGTTCACGATCACCCCTTCCTCCGAATCGAACTTCGCCTGTAGCGGTTCCTGTACCAGGACGCCTCCGACAACGAAACGAATCTTCGTCGTCTGGCGGTTCTTGGCAGATGATATCGGGAACCGGAAGTTTACGTGGTTCCACGACTGCCAATGCTCTGCTCGCGGACGGATTAACGTCTTCTAGTTTAGTTTGCAAACCCCTTTGCGAAATTTGTACAGGTCACGCATCTCAAGAATCAAGCACGACAATTATCGAGGATGAAGCATGTGCATTGTTAGCACAGTAAGTACTAAACCTTTCGAAAATATATACGCAGCCATGATAAAGATTTGTAAGATTGGTCTCCTTAGCTCTGTTACTTCATGTTAAAATATTTTTACCTTTACTGTTCGCGTTCGCGTGTGTTTCAGATCCCGCAGAGAAAAGTTACAGTGTTTAAGAAGAATATTTTATAACGCTTATAGTCATACTGTTGGATTCCGAATGAAAGATAATTCTGAATCGAGCGGTTTCGGTCAGCTACTTGGTAATTTTGCCGAAAAAGTAGGGATTCTTTCTGTTCAACGCACATCCTTGTGACTATAATGTCCATTAACTTCCCACAATCATGAGTTTACTGTTATTGATTCCTTGACTCAATTCAGAATTTTATAAAACGCTATGCAATGGAAATAAAACAACTGTAAATTATTGTTTATGTGAATATTGCATTGTTACACAAGAAGCAGCGATTATATGCGTGACGTAAATAAAAAAAATTGATATTTTTGTATATATATATATATATACATATACATATATATATATATAAATATTTACATGTATATCTGTATGTAAATATGTGTCTGTCTACTACTTGTTTGCTTTACATTTATCACGTACAAGTGTATTTATTACTACTATCTGTATGAAGTTATTACTAGCACAGATGTGTAGTAATTAGCATTGAAACAAAATTATAAGAATGTTAAAATCTATAAAAGAATAACTCTGGTAGATCATTTACCCTTTAACTCTCTAATTATTTAAATGAAAGAGAAAGGATTAATGTCCTTTGTTTATTATAAAATTACAAATTCATCACATGTACAATCCTGGAAGGTACAACATGCTCTCTGCATAAAGGACATTGTGGTTTAGTGTTCAACCAATCGGTAAGACAAAACCAACAAAACAAGTGGCCACATGGTGTAGCAGTTGTTGGCACTCTTTCAAGACACAATTGACATGTTAATTTAGTGTGTTTCTCATCCAATGGCACATATTTATTGTCATGGCTATCGTTATACCTGTTTTGCCAGATTTTTAATACACAGTTTGCAAGTGTAGCAACTCCCAATAACCTTAATCCCCAACTGATACTATCAGTAGGCCGATGACCGGATACCTTCAAATTTAATAATGATTGTAGAATGAAAATTTATTTATATTGAAAAAGAAACCCATTACACAAAAATTACCTTTGCATAATCAATTCCTGTTAATCTTTTACCTAAGCTGTAATACCTGCCATACATATAAAATAACCCCTTATGAATAACTATAAAGATAGGTAACATGTTGCACATTTTTGATATACATGAATTTAGAAAGGTGACAGCCACAGGAGTCAATTCGCTCTGAGGATGATTAATCCTTAACTGTAATTTTTTTAATATTCTTAATAATGCCTTTTCTCCAAAACATTCTAAAATCACTGCTATTATCCTTACCTAAATAACATGTTAATGATAAATAGTAATACATTACTGAGATCCATTTTACATTGGTACTTAAGTACATACAAGTAATGATGGAACTTTGCGAGCCTCTAAATTGGCTTGCACTATTCCCGTGTATTCTTCGCCTAGCGTTTGATTTCCCATTCCCGATGTAAAAAAGAAGTAAATTAGCTTGAACGGTATATCGGAATGAATAAAGGGCAAGGTACCCGATTGCCTCCCAATAATCTGCAGAACATCTATAACTTTTTCTCGCAATTGTTTGACAAAGTCATCGTCTCTTTGATGCGATCGAAGAATTTCTACCTGACTTGCACATTTCAATTTGCGATGCTTTTTTAATTCCATTTCGATCGAACACTTTTTTAACGAACCTGTTACATTTATGATGGATCGTGAAACCGTACTGTTTTAGTCAATCGAGCACAAATTACTAAATCACGATTGCCGTATGTAATACATTAAGAATACATACGCATATTAATGATAAAAACTAACTTCGAGATAACATAACCTCAACTATTAAAAAGAAATTTACCGCCTTTTCCTTCATTAATTTATAAGTGACGATTACACTAAACGTTATTACTTATTGTCTTCCTATAGAGAATCGAAGAAGCAACTAAAACCGTACAAATATTTCACAAGAATTAAAATATGCCGCAAAAATTGCGTTATACAGCAACACGAACATATAACAATCTTCGTGGCATGTAAGGAGTATCCATAGTTGTAACAAAATGATTCAATTTCTTTTTTTATTCAACGTACTAATTACAAAATAGTTTGTAATTAAGTATGCATGTATGAACATATATGCAATGAAACACATTTAATTCGAATAGAAGTGCACGCGTGTCTTTTTATATATTGAACATTTTTTTGTTAAGTATTTATACGAATAAGAATAACTTGATTGACATATTTCGAGAGACATTGCAATGTCTTATTTTGTATTGTAAATGTGACGAATCTTTGTTAATAGGTGATTCGGTAAAACCATTTTTTATGCCGAATTTAAAATATGATGTAAAATAAGCAAAGACTTACCAATACCGCAATGTACCTTTTCCTCGTTTAGACACCGATATTACAAACTCAAAAAGTTCAAAACCAGGATTTCCATTATTTACCTCGTTCCTTATGTCGTTGTAGAAACAGCAATCAACTGGTAAAAATCAAACACGAATTTCTTGTAATTTGAAAATCAACGTTCCTTATAACAGTTTATGCAATTCGTATTAGAATTTTGTAAAACGGTTGGTTTGGTCACGCATGCGTAGTAAAAGCTTGTGCTTACAAATACGATTTGATTTTAGGCGGTTATGGTCAGTTATTGCAGTCGTTCGTTTTAAGAAATTAAGGTTAAATCAAGATACGTTATACGTATCATATAAAAAAGAATTTATTAACAATAATAATAATGTACTATTACACTATACAAAAAATGTATGGTATATTGACTGTTTGCTTTTTCTAGCAGAGTTCTCGACATTTGAAAAACTTTTAACATGTTTTAGTTTTGTTTGATTAAGAAAATATGTTATTCATCAAATTTTAGTTATACGAGTATAAAAACTATATTAACTTTATAATTTACCTAGTTGTTCGTTTAAATTAAAGCGGGAAACATGTTTGCAAGAGCTCGTACTTTTTTTTTGACGTGAAGTGACGCCATTATTGTTCTTTTAAGCGCTCGTAGCGCCAAACCAATACACTTTACATGTAAATTCCGAAGTTACTATTTACACGATTGCATACATTTATAATTACTATACCATTGAAGTATTTCAATGATATCAAGGAGAAAGGATATTGTATTGACTTTTAAATATTTTATTCACAGAAGAATACAAATTATTTTAGTGGAATAAATCTGGAAGAGTGAGTGGCACCAATACCTGGCCTACCGTGTTTGACAGGTTTATAGGTGACAGAGAACTCTCCCAAGTAGTAACCAATCATTTCTGGTTTGATTTCCACCTGATTAAACGTCTTCCCATTATATACACCAACTATGGAACCAACCATTTCAGGTACAATAATCATGTTACGCAAATGGGTCTTAACAATTTCTGGCTTTTCATTTGGCGGTGTTTCCTTCTTTGCTTTCCTTAGTTTCTTTACTAGTGCCATAGACTTTCGCTTCAGACCATGAGAAAAACGCCTCCGGGCACGAGCGTGCATCAAAACCATAAGTTGCTCACTGTAACCAAGATTCATAGACACGATGTGAATAAATCGACGTGATTTACGAACAATGTAACTTTTATGCTTATAGAAGTTACGATGTTACAAAAATTGAGTATTTTATATGTTCGATTCGTTTAGTTAACTAATCGAACGAATGACAGTGAACGATACCCTATAGATCGTGAAAATTTTTCACGAAAAACACTCACTTTGGCATATCCAGGAGTTGATCGAGATCAACTCCCCGAAAGGTAAACTTTCGGAAAATCCTCTTCTTCTTCTGGGTATCTTCCGCCTGAAAATCATGAAGGAATTATAAAGAGGTTATGTGTACGAATGAAAACTATGTTTCATCTTAGACGATAATATTGTCTTTTCGATATACAGGAAAGCGATACAATTTGTAACAATCTATGCGTATATGTTTTTTATAATAGATTGAAAAGATTAAATTGGATATTCTTTCTATCTGTGACACATACCTCTGCCATGTTTTCAGGTGCTGGGATAAACGACAACAAGAAATATAAATGTGTGCTTTCTCGTGAAAATCAATTCTACCACTAACTAAATGTTACTAGATGGGTAACAGAGCTGTTATTTTTCGTACCAAACGCAGTGATATTTTTAATCGATATTGTACAATCCTCTTAACTCGTTGACTTTTTTCTAATAGGATTATAAAATAAGTAAATTATTTCACGCTTCGTTATAACAGAATCAATTTGACATTAAAGTACACATAAATCTTGGAAATTATTTCATAAACTCTAAGCTTAAAAAAGATATGTTCGCGTGCAAACATCAACCACTTTTGTTAATTCTGAACAATTTGAATTAAGATTCGAATCATAGTTTAACACGTTGATTGTCATGCACAATTTTTTATGTTTAGGAACATTCTCAATATATATTTAAATTATGGTGCAAAAAGTACAATTATTCAGTAGTTCATAATTGTATATGTTGTTTGCAAATATTAATGTTATTCAGAAGTTTACAGACCTGCGATTAGATCTAATCATAGAGTTACTTCAAAGACTTGGATTTTGAGGTTTTATACCACCGTGAACCGACGTATGTGAGTGTTCGAGTAAAGAAAAATTCGACAAGATACATCCTAACCCTATTTTAGTTAATCTAACCTTTAAAAACCCCGCTTGTGTGCCATGTTACATTTTAGTTTCTGACAACAATATGCTGCCAAAGGGGCGCTAAATCTTGACTACATTAGCGTATTCGCATATTTAAGGGGGAAACGCTTATACTACATTTTCATTGGTGTTGAACAACATTCAGTAAAATTAAGAAATTGTGTGCAATAGCACATGTTTGAAAGACTGGTGCCGATTGTTGAGCACGTTGCGCGTAGTACGACTCGTTCGCAAAATATGAAATATATATTAGTGACTGGTGGTGTGATAAGTGGAGTCGGCAAAGGTGTTATTGCAAGTTCCTTTGGGACTATACTTAAACATTGCGGCATTCATGTGACATCTATCAAAATCGATCCGTACATAAATATAGATGCCGGTACATTTTCCCCGTACGAGCATGGTATGCTATTACAAACAAAATTCTTTCGTCTTTCCTTCCTCCCTGACACGACCGAATGTTTGAAATAACTTTTCTACGTTTTTGAACATTCTATATAGCCATGTGGCATCAGAAGCCATTTTATACGTTGCTGTCGCCCGCGCAGTTTTACGCAAAGGGTTAAATTCTTATCTAGATAAAATTTCGAATAACGAATGAAAGATGAATGATCGTTTATTCGTTATTCGTCGAATAAGAATTCGAGTTACAGTATAAAATCGTAATTTACATCGTACGAACAGAAATACATTTATATTATGCAAATAAATTATTAGTACCGTGTTTGTATTAGTTTATTACGCGAATTAAATTTTACCCGCCTTTAAGTTCGAGCAATTATTTTCCCTCTTTGAAACGAAATGTTGAATTTGACAAAAACCGTTAAATAGCGTGATTTTTTTTTTATCACGGATAAATTGATTTTGTAATATTTTTAAATAAATAAATTAAATTGTACGTTCTAAAGGCATATTCTTTTCTCGAGAAGCGTCCTTTTATTGTCTTTATATAATTACTTTTGTTAAGGGGAAGTATATGTTTTGGATGATGGAGGTGAAGTAGATTTGGATCTGGGAAATTATGAACGATTTTTGGACATCATTTTACACAAAGATAACAATATAACAACAGGGAAAATTTATCAACATGTTATCTCAAAGGAAAGACGTGGTGATTATTTGGGAAAAACTGTTCAAGGTATATTGTTTGGTCCATTCTATGTTTGTAGTAATAAAAGGTTTGAGTTATCAAGTAACCAGTATTTCATTTTGCATTTAGTGATACCACATATAACAGATGCTATCCAAGAATGGGTTGAAAAAGTGGCACACCAATCAGTAACACAGGATGGTGATAAACCAGATGTAATTATGTTTTTTTGTATTACTAATTATACTCAATTACGTATGTAAATTGTTTTTAATGATATGTAAATTAATGTATGGATTATCTATTTCAGATTTGTATTGTAGAGCTGGGTGGTACAATAGGAGATATAGAAGGAATGCCATTTGTAGAAGCATTCAGGCAGTTTCAGTTCAGAGCCAAAAGGGAAAATTTTTGCTGTGCTCATGTATCTCTGGTGCCACAAGTAAGAAACTATTCTTGTTTAACTGACTTCCCTTATAGACCTTGACTTTGAACTTGAGCCAAACACAGGCTCTGTTTAGTTTTAGCCTCTAGGATTATGTAACTTGTACTCTTAAAAGTTTGCAATTAGAACCACAGAATCATGAATTATATATGCTCAGGAATGGCAACAATCGGACGTTTTTTTTGTTCTATTTCTAAAGATCGAATTTGCTGCATTTTCTAGCAATAAATTCACATAATTAAATAGAAATTAAAAGGAAAATTAATTTTGTTTTCAGCCACGGACCACTGGCGAGCCGAAAACAAAGCCAACGCAGTCCAGCGTGAGAGAACTGCGTGGATTGGGCTTGTCTCCTGATCTAATAGTCTGTAGATCCGAGAAACCGATAGGTGACTCCGTGAAAGAAAAAATTTCAAACTTTTGTCACGTTGCTCCACAACAGGTAAAGTTCCTTTACAGTTTTTATATCGTTTATTGCGCAGCGGCGAGCCGCTCGATGCGAATGTTAATTACACTATTTTACACACTTCGATATTATACGCGCATTATTTCTATTTAAACTTGAAACCAAAATAATTAATGCGTTGACTGCCATGATGGTCACTGATACGCGACATTTTAAACCTACAACATGACTTTCGCCCGCGAATGGCGGATGATTTAGGATGAATATGTTAAACGAATGCAAGGTCATATTGACCCACGATTAAATTTAATTCGTTTTTAAGGTCGTTCGTAAACCGAAACTATTTTCCCCATCGGGAAAGCCAAGTAGAAACCTCGTATCCTTCTCCCCATTTCAATGTGAACATAAGAAAAGTCTCAAATTGCACAAAGGTTGAACTACAGTTGCTTAAGGGTGATTTTAATTTCTTAGGTCATAACCATACATGACCTGACATCTATATACCGGGTACCACTATTGATGGAATCCCAAGGTGTTATTGAATTTTTAAACGACAGACTGCAATTAAACATCGGAATGCCACGTCCGCGATATTTCATGCGAAAGTGGAGAGACTTGGCTGATCGTATCGATCACTTGCGAAAGGAAGTGAATATTGCATTAGTGGGAAAATACACAAAACTGGAAGACTCCTACGCTTCTATCACAAAAGCGTTACAGCACGCGTGCATAGAAGTCGGCTACAAACTTAACTTAACAGTAAAGTATCAAATATAACTTTTTTTTGACGGTCTATATAGAGCGAGGCATTTCAAGATGGCCGCCCGAATAACTTCTTTGCTTTTTGTTCGTCACCAAAAGTAAACAAGTTTTTCGGGCGGTTTGCTCCAACCGTTCATAATAATAACTCCTATTATTTTATATGATTCCAATTTTAGTATATAGAAGCTGATAATTTAGAACAAGCTATGAAAGCATCCAACCCTGTTTTGTACCACGAAGCATGGCAGTTACTTTGTAAAAGCAAGTAAGCTCTCATTCCTTGTGCAGGGTGAATCGTCCAAGATCGATGATTTTTTTTTCACATCTTTATACGTTAATTTTACTATATTTAGCGGTGTCATAGTACCAGGAGGTTTCGGTAAAAGGGGAATGTTAGGAAAAATGGAAGCATGCAAATGGTGTAGAACAAACGACAAACCGTTCCTTGGTATTTGTTTGGGTTTACAAGTAGCGGTCATTGAATTCGCCAGAAACGTTTTAGGCTTGGAAACTGCTAACAGCACAGAAATCGATCCGCATACCGAGCATCCACTAGTTATAGATATGCCAGAACATAATTCTGGCCAAATGGGCGGAACTATGAGACTTGGTAAAAGGTGTACACGATTCATAAAGGATAGTTCTGTTATAAGTTAGTAGGCTAAAGTTTTAAAATTTAAATCATATCTGCACGTGTTTACCCGTTTATTCAAATTTTTTTGAATTGTCCCTGTGCAACGATAGAACAATTATATGGTAACAAGGAGTGGATAAAAGAAAGGCATAGGCATAGGTACGAAATTAATCCAAAATATATTACTGAGTTGGAAGAAGCTGGATTGCATTTTGTTGGTAAGTAGTATAGATATTAAACGCTATGGAGAATGTCGTATGATTTCCGTAGTTGTTCGAGAGGAGTACGTTCTTAGCGTGACGTTAGTTGTAGAAAAATTTAAATAATGTACTTGTGTCTCTGCCAGGTCACGATGAGGAAAACCTGCGTATGGAAATTGCAGAGTTAGAGGGGCATAGTTATTATGTTGCTACACAATTTCATCCAGAATATTTGTCGAGACCTTTGAAACCTTCGCCTCCATTCTTGGGATTGATTTTGGCTAGTGTCGATAAATTAAAATTCTACTTGTCTAGAGGTTGCAGACTTTCGCCTCATCAGATTAGCGATAACGAGTCTGGTAATGAATCAACAGTTTATTAGATTCGTACTAATGCCCATTTGCTAGGATTGGGACGTTCTTCGAATTTTTTTTTTGTATAAATCGAGTATTTTGTTCGCTGATCAAGCATGTGGGAAGTTCGTAGCATCTGAACGTGTTGTTTCATCGTCGGAACATTAATGTTCGAAAAATAATATCTAGACAATATTACTTAAACGTTAATATCTAAGTAGTCCCAATCTCAGTTTCCATTAGTTCAATCGTGTAATGTGTATTGGGGGATTATCATTTTCAACAGAAGACGACTATCCAGAGGAATTAGAAGTACAAGCCAATAAGCTGTCAATGAGCGATGCAAGTAGGAGTGGTAGCACGACATCCGGTACCAACGATTAAATCTGAATTCGTGTTGCCATAAAAATATTTTTAATGACAAAATATAATTTCGTATGTACATACGTTAGAACGACGAAAACTTCCTATAGAAGCAGACGTAGGATATACAGTTAAACTTATATGTGTATATACAGGGTGTTCGGCTACCTATAGCAAAAATTTTAATGAACGATAGTAGAGGCCAAAATAAGACGAAAATCAAGAATACTAATTTGTTGATGGAGGCTTCGTTGCAAAGTTATTAACATTTAAAGTTCTGCCTGTAGAATGACAATCCGCTAAACAGCTGCGTTCGCGCGGACGGTTGCGGCAGGCGAGTGCTAGTGGTTCTCACGCAGCATGAAAAATTCTGCTTACCGACATTATCGACAGCCTTAGATTTTTGTCCACTTATGGGAATGCGAACACCTTACGTTGAATAAGATTCAACCTGTCTTATGAAAATCCAGAAGGGCATATCAAAACTCGCCCGACGAGATTTTCACAGAGAAAGGGTGAATGCCAGTTCTAATACACAATGTTGTGAACAAAAATCACCCACATGCGATTATACACGCCCCACGATTGTCCACAGTGTCCACAAATAATCCTTTCAGGCACTAACCACTATGCAATTAAATAAACACGTACCGCGATTGTTATTCGTGAATGTCTACGTGTACGTGTATCACGATTCTTCCGAGTTACTTACGAATAAAACTGTTATTAATTTTTCAAATACACTTCAATTTAAAAATGTAAACAGGAATTTAATAAGTATTCGCTGATTGTTTATATCACTGTATTTCTTACATGCTACTTAATACATAACTGTTGCGTGGACTCTCGCGACCGGTAAAATTGGAGTGGCGCGAAAGGAACGCTTTCCGAAGAGTAAGTTATTACTATCGGAATAGTTGGAATAAATGAATGTAGTACTGAACGAGCATAGTTGACTTTTTGACTGTGTAACGTGGAATGTCTATTTCAGGTCTGATGTCGGTATTTACATGGATGGTGGAATGTTATTGGCTAATGTGTCGCGTTGTAGGAGTGTCGTTGGTTCTGAATGATTGGTGTAGTTCTGTGTGGGTGTGGTTTGACTGTACTGGCGGAAAGGGCAGGCTCTGGTGAGGAAGCCCTTTCCGGGGTTGGGACGGAGTTTTCTAGTAAATTTGAATGTTAGTAACAATTAAGTGAAAGCTAGCCAAGTGAAAGTGCGCGCTAGCCGCGCACGTGCATTTCAGCTGTCTAGAAAACTCCGTCTTGGTTACCCTTGAGAAACAAAAGGCTGATGGTCGTTTGCAGGCCCGGCCAACGGCTCGACCGAGGGCCTTGACTGTCGCCAACTAACCCTGCCATAAAGGCTAAATTGCGAGGTCCTGCTCGCGTCGCAACAATAACTGAATCAAATATGTCTAAAATGTGTCGTGTGAACGCGTTTTACGACTGACTAGCTGGCCGAACACGTACCGATGCTGCCCTTTGTCTCCGCTGTGTGTGAGAGAGATAAGCGAGGCGAGTGACGTAGAATCGGGGTCCTGTTCGGCATTTGTTTCTCTGAACCTCGTCGATCGATGGCACAGTCAGCTGCTAGTATTGTTACGTTCTTCGCCGTGAACGTAAATCGATGCAAAAATTTCATTTATCCTGCGATTCCTTTTTACATTTTTAAATTGAAGTGTATTTGAAAAATTAATAACAGTTTTATTCGTAAGTAACTCGGAAGAATCGTGATACACGTACACGTAGACATTCACGAATAACATAATCGCGGTACGTGTTTATTTAATTGCATAGTGGTTAGTGCCTGAAAGGATTATTTGTGGACACTGTGGACAATCGTGGGGCGTGTATAATCGCATGTGGGTGATTTTTGTTCACAACATTGTGTATTGGAACTGGCATTCACCCTTTCTCTGTGAAAATCTCGTCGGGCGAGTTTTGATATGCCCTTCTGGATTTTCATAAGGCAGGTTGAATCTTATTCAACGTAAGGTGTTCGCATTCCCATAAGTGGACAAAAATCTAAGGCTGTCGATAATGTCGGTAAGCAGAATTTTTCATGCTGCGTGAGAACCACTAGCACTCGCCTGCCGCAACCGTCCGCGCGAACGCAGCTGTTTAGCGGATTGTCATTCTACAGGCGGAACTTTAAATGTTAATAACTTTGCAACGAAGCCTCCATCAACAAATTAGTATTCTTGATTTTCGTCTTATTTTGGCCTCTACTATCGCTCATTAAAATTTTTGCTATAGGTAGCCGAACACCCTGTATACGATATCAAGAGTATAGTATAGCGATATAGTATAGAATTTTACTATATAGTTATGCTATACATGGATGAAATAGATCAATTACTAAAGAAATGTGTAAAGTATTTGCAAACTTTGTTAGAGACATAATTAATAAGATATTCCTGTCTTAGTAAAAATTAATAATTTTTTTTTTTACTCTCATTAAGCATTAATTCATCGGAAAACCACAAAATAAAATATATATATATATACATACATACATACATACATACATACATGTAGGTATGTATAGATTTTATAGACAAGACATTTGATCTGCAGACAAAATAGACTACTTACATCAACGAGTGCTCAAAGAATTATATTTAATACGCTAAACTTTTTGTCCGTTTAATCACGAATACAATGTACAAAATATTAAAGAATTTTTGTGTCATGATTTATTTATAAACGAAGTTTATTCGTTGTAGTTTAATTATCAATATCCCTTCAAGTGTATTTTTTATAATTATCGTTTGATTTTTTGATGTTCTTGAATGTACATATAGTTTACATAACTTACCATCAATAAAAAAAAATTCTATTACTATGAATATATACATTACGCTTCTGCTATTATTTTATAAATTATAAAACAGCAAACTTCTTACATTTTACGAGGAAATAAAGGTTAATGTTTCTTTGCAATTTTTAGGTTTTTTTTTTTTTAATGCTAAATTTCTTTCTAGTTTTTATAAAAATGTTAAATTCAAGTGTCTACTGGTAAATGCTAATAGCAACTCTGCAGGATATTCACGATTATGAATTCTATATTGCATGTAACTAGTTATATTTTAAGAAATTATTACATAATCATAATCACGATTTTTTATTTTTATTGAGCAGCACATGCGTTCTGCCAAATATACAGTATATAAAATATACACTGGCATATTACAATAAAACATTTTTCTTCGTATAAAAATGATATATGTACACTCTTTACTGTTACACGTACAGCATACGATTAGTGATACTAGACTAATGTTAAGTTACAGTAGTGAATTCGGATTATTACAAGTCGAAAAAAATAAAATATCTGCAATATATAATAAACAAGTGTAAACAAAATAAATACGAAAAAAAAAAAAATTAAAATGCACTTTGGACGGTAAGCATTACAAATAATACTGAGAACATTTTTTGCAAAAGAAAAAGTACTTTACAGGAGATTATTGAAAGTTTAAAACTTTGTATATATACAATTTTTGTCATCGGTAAAAAAGAAGTTCAACAAATTTGAACACGAGAGCGAAAACGCTCATTTTACGGGTCGTTTAATAATTTGCAGTCGATATTAAAAATGGAAATATAGATATAGTCAAGTAAAAGAAAAACGAAGAACTATTTTCCTTTTCTAGAAGGATGAACATAATATTTTATGTTAGAATGTTATCCTGTCGCGATGTTTGAACTAAGTTACAAAAGTATAATAAATACTTATGCACGTCGCAAACTAAAATAACAACAATTTGCAATTACAATTGTTTCTCACTACCCTCTACTGTTTAGCAACCTACTAACAATACAATATTTCAAACTAGGTATTGAAATAATTGGAATCTTTACCTTAAAAAGTAAAATACTAATGCAAAATGAAAAACATTGTCTTCAATTATTTAAACAGTGACACGTTTACCTTTCTGCCTTTGTATACAATTTCACTGCTAGTCATAGTCGTACGTTATTTTCCTTAGCCCCGACGGTAATCTTAATTTTTAAATGTAAATATTGAGCCAAACAGTAATTAAATGAGAAATACTTCTATAATATTCAGTTCTTCTCAGGAAAATTTTATTATGTTTGTACCAGTCTGGTATTTTTCGTTATAAGATATTTCAATATAATTTCTTATGTTTCGTGAATCAGTTCCGTTCAACCGACTCTGCCTTTCTTTTATGCAAAGCTTTTTTTTTTTTCGTCTTACTGCTAGTATTTAATCGAGACAGTAAAAACAAAGTTTCGTATTGTCCCTTCTACGGTACGTTCCATGAGACGGCGAAGCAAATCCAACCAGTTCAACTTCACCTTTTCACGGAACATACCGCAAATCCTTCGTATGACACTTCAAAGTGCACTTATAATATGCATAGCTTTACCTATAAACGTATTCTAGCAATCGTTACAGCGCGGTACAACTTAAATAAACCATTCTTTCTTCTTTTGAACTTGATGACCGGTAGTTGAATGCACGACGGCCGAATCGGGGTCTAACGCTATCTCAGCACCCTTGTCTTCCTGCGTTAAGTATTCACCTTTGTGTCTCGACATGTACCTACCTATGAGCACTGCCATTATTACCAACGCTATGATAATAACGGCCAACACGCTTCCCAAGATTGCTGTATCGATTTCGTTGTACGCGGCTCGGAGTATATCTTCGTCCAATTGCGGGGGTGGTCGCGTTTCGACGACATCGGGCGGATGCGTAATCGGTTCCACGCCACAGAAGTCTTCCGTTAGGGGAGTACCGAAAGAACGAACGTTCGAGGGCCCGTCCTCTTGGAACAACAATTTCAGAGGATAGATATCATCGAATTCTACTCTGGATATGCAACCGGCGAATCCCTCCGTCATGGACTCGTTCCTTCCAATATACATGTACTGAACGTTATTGAACTGGGCGTCCGCCGATGTTTTTATGTTGAAATTAAACTCCTTCGGTTCGTAATTGTCCACTTGCAATATCAGTGTCGCCCCCGAGTTCTTTCTACCGACCCTGACGTCGTGGTACTGTCCCAGACCGAAATGCTTGTTCGGGAATATAACCTCCTGCCGTTCGAAACCGAAATCGAACACTACGCGCAAGTGCCCGCTGTTCGACACCATTATCGTCATATATTCGCCAGAGATATTCGAGAATAGACCGAGCAAAAATCCTTTAGGGTTCGTTGTCGTGAAACCGACTCGTATCTTTTCGGCGATCGTCGAACGCCAGCTGCCCATGAAGTCGTATTTTATGATCGAGCTGGGACGCATGTTCACACCGATCTCTGTAACAATATCCCCGTGTTAACTTTTTGTAAACAATTTAAAATTTTGAAACGTACGAGTTTATATATATTTTTTTTAACGTACCGTCTGCGCAAATGGGACCCTTGAACGCGGTCCACCGACAATCGCACGAATACCCGTCGTACCTTTCGTGGCAGGTGCCATTGTTGAGGCACGGATTACTCTCGCATCTACCCATGCAACCTTCGGTGATTCCGTACAGCCCTTGTCGCGCGTAGCTTCTCAGATCTTGCAACTGACCGTTCAATAAAAGCGCCCTGATGCACCCCACGTAACCGTCCCTGTAATCCGTCGTGGCACCGACTACGAGGTCAGACGTGAGGTGGAGGGCTCGTACCGGGCCCGGGGGTTCTTTCACCTCGGTTTTCAATGCCCCGTCGACCACTATTCTAGCCTCTTTACGATTCCTTTCAACCGACACCGAGTGCCATCGATTGTCGGCTAATCTATAAGAGGTTTGCACGCTTACAGTGAGCGGGCCGCTACCTGCCAAGTACTGAAACTGAATCTGGTTTCCACTGTTTATAGAAATCTTTATGTAATCCGTAGGCCCCTTGCTGTGCATTATAACAGCATTGTCGATGGTGGTTTTGAATTCGAAGAAGATATCACCGCTGTGACCGATATCGAAGGTTGGCAGGTTGATGGTTGCATCGACAATACGGAACGTCACTACGTTCTTGAACAAATCTACGATAAAAACGAGACGCTCGTTTATATCATCTTAGAGTATAATGTGTAATTAGGATTGTATTATACTGGAGTAAGATAAGTTTGATCGGTACACGGAGTAAGGGGAACTACCAATTTGTGACAACGATAGTGACCCATTTTACACTGTATTCGTTTCGAATACGCGGACTATATTAGTGCACTAGGGTGTTTAGTTCGACTGCGTTTACGCCAAGCGTACCAAGTTTGTAGAAAGTAAAAATAAGATACAGTTAACGTGTTGTAAAGTATAAGTATGTGTTATAAAAAATATGTTGCATATTTATATACAGAGTTTACAGCGCTGCAAAGGCAATTACGTTCGATACGCCATCATTTATTTACACACCAAGCGTTTGGTGCAAATTAAGTACACGGTACGTACGGTGTACCAAACGCTTGGTATAAACTAGCTCAGTGGTACGTAAAACGATATTTCGTGAATTACTGTTGCTTTTATATTACGGTAGCCAATACATGTATTAAAACACGATATGTGTTTTTTTTTTTTTATATTTGTATTACTACGTTAAATGATTTCGTATCTTACCTGATCTTACCTTGGCAGTCAACCAAGGTAAATTAGAACCTTGCAAAGAATTTGAAATAAATTAAACTTTCTTGTTCGCATGCATAGAATCAATAAAATATACTGAACCTACCATCGCCCTCGCAGATAAGCGGTCCTAGCGTATAACGACCTTCCTTCTCGTCAACCGGCGTACCAGTGTCCCCGAATCGCAATTGTTTGACAGGAAGGTATTCCTTTTCGGTGATATCGCCGCTATCTTCCAAGGGACCCTTCACCTCAGAGTCACAGTTGCACCATTTCGTGGGATCCACGCAATTCCCAAGAATACCACACTCGCATTTACGCGATCCTGGCAACGCTCCGCCCCAATAGTCCATTTTCTGATTACTTCTACTGACCCACCATGAATTCGGTCTAAAGTAATCTCCTTGCGGCACTGAAAGTACACAAGTACCTCTTACTTTTATTCGATAAAATTTTTATCCAATTCCTCAACATCTTCGCTTTATTCGGTGGCTAGTACACTTTTTATTCTGTCGGTACTACGAAGTAACGTTAATAAAAGTAATTACCCGGTGAATTAAAGAGTTTCGAATGTATGCATTCGTAACTGATCCTCTGCCTGCAATTCGTCGATCGATTTAGCAGAGCCTCGATTTGATCCATATCCGCATCGTAAATAATATCTTGAACGAAACTGCCCGGTTCTTGGAACCCATCCACGGGTGTTATGCGTTCGTTATTGTGCCGAAGTATCGTCCTTACGCGTCCATCCGTGTAGAATTCACAAACCACAGGGAATGGATTTAACGGACCACTTCCATCGACGTCTATTTTAATGTCTGCTCGTTGATTGACCGTGTTTATATTTTTGTACGCTTCGCACGAGAGAGGATTTAATGCTGCGTTAAAGACAACGTAACGTTAATAAAGCTTCGTCCTATTCAGCTGTTTTGTCGAATGAAATTTCTTCCGGTACTCGGTTTATTACTTACAAGTATGACACACCGCCCCTGTATATCCCGTATTGGCACAATCGCAGAAGAATTCATCAGAATTTTGACGACAAATACCGGAGTGTTTGCACGGATTTGGATTGCAACGATCCATCATCTGACAAGCATCGAAAACAATTTCGTTCTTACAACAATACTCTTCCTCCTTCCAGTCGGTCGGTAATTTGTAATTACCGTCGATGCTAATCATTCGCATGCAACCGACGAAACCTTTGTTGCTTTCTATCCCTGTTACGCCGCCGATAAAATACACTGGACCCGTTGTCATTTCCAGCATACGTTTGGTTCTCATCGGCGTGCCATCCACATTCAAGATCAGACTGTTTTTAGCAATGGTCAAAATAACTTGGTGCCATTTGCCGTCGTTGAACTTCTCGTCGAAATTATCTAAAGTTACTTGGGGATTTCCTTTCGTTTGGATGGTCACTTTCAGTTTACCGTCTTCTAAGAATAGCTGTATATATCAACATAACAGGTTTCAATAAAAGTATATGCAACCGGTGCATCGGTTTTTTAAGGACAGGTTCGTCGTTGTTCGCTGATTATACAAACCTTCACAAAACCCGGCGACGTGAACTGGTGGTACAAAATGATTCCCTGATTTTCGTACGTTCGAAAAGTGAGGGAAGCGTTCAAAGAAGATATCCCTTCGTATCCCTTGAGTCTAGCATACGATCCATGGGTCAAAAATGTAACAGGAACAATGGGTGGTTCTGGACAATTATAAATCGTATTCACTTTATAATATCTTAAGTTTTCACCGGTCATTTCAGTTTCTCTTAAATCGTGAATGATGCTTGTTGCGTTGAGGTAAAAGTTTTCTATGCACCCTGTAAAATTCTGATTAACTACTAATCCGTCCTGTTTGTTGGGCACACCGCCTATGTAAAGCTGACAAGGATAATTACACGTTATTTAATTGTTTGATCGTACCGTACGTATTGGTTACTTTTTACGATACAATAGTGAATATTACACCTACCGCTCTGTTCAGATCCAGTCTATGAAACTCTCCTTTTATTCTTCCTTTGATTAATACTCTATCTACCGAAAACGATATATTCTTTCTATTACGCGATATTAGGACGTCGTGCCACATATTGTCGTCCAACAGGCTTCCAACGGACAAGCTCGTCATAATACCGGATCCAAGATCGATATTCAACAACATTCTATTATCTTTCAGTTGCAAGGCTATGTAATCCCCCTGCGTACCCCTGGAGTACATAAGGACCCCATCGGCGTTGTTTGTTTTAAATCGAAAACGTATAAAATGTCTATCAGTTTCTATCGGTTCCCTCAACAAATCGTATCGCAAAAGAGACGAACCATTGAAGGAAAGAACATCGGACACTATAAATAAAAAATAGTTAATAATACCAATGTTCCATTCCAAGCTATCGTTTACTTTCAAAATGTACACGATCCCTTACCATAATTGCATCCATATAATTCTAATCTTAACGATATTCTATCCCGCCATCGTGTAGGATTTATTCTAAGCCATTGCGCAATAATTGGAACCTCGAACTTATTAAGTTTTATGGTATCTCCATCTACATTACCCTTGAACATCTATCGAAAAGAAGGAGAATAACATAGTTTCCTTTTCATGGCAATTTAAATATACTACATTTCATTTTAGAACAACGCATGTTCGCAAATCTATAGTCCAAAGTATTTGGCGTTAAATTTTTGTACTCGAAAGGTATATGTTACACAGATTTTCACGCTTGGTTAGTTACATATTTTCTGTAAATGCAACATCAATAGTAGTTGAAGTTTTAATATGTAGAAATAAATGGAAGTAAATTAAAAATTATTCAGTAGGTATCTAACATGCTCGTATGTTGGTATGTTAGTATGGCATTGTTAATTATAAGTGCAAAGCACGGAAGCGTATGTAAAATGTTTTATTGGAAAGACTTGTATCGAGTAAAAGAAGTTATCGGTCTACTTTCTTCGCGAAGTATTTAAAAACGTTTTTAAACGAGATAAGAGAATTGTTTGTTCCAAATGTACGTTGTTTAATTGTTAACGCGAGCAAATATTGTATCTGTGAAGGCAATGTTGTGATTCCCTTTGTGCCTCCACCAATGACAAACTACTTCTACCACACAGTGTTTCCCACTGAAACCATACACCTTCAAAGTTGGACAGAATCTCGTTTCATACAATATAGATGTAGATTTTATATACTTCAATAAAATATGTAACTCTTTATAGTATTAAACTTTGTAGGAGAACTTATATTTATGATTCATATAAACAAGTACTGTACTTGGTACTTGTTACACTAATTTTTCTTTTCCTTTAATTGTTATCGTTTCATACTTTTAGTGGGTGCAAACAGATTTATAATTTCACTCATGGGATAGTTTAAAAACACGATCGGTTATTTTCGGGGGCATTTTCTTATCTCATGAAATAGCAAAAATTTGTCTAATTGTATTTAAGAAGTAAGAGGACTGTGAAATGAGACAACATGTTATTTGTAATAGCATCCAGATCCAGATCTACGACGTTGTACGTACATTGTGGTTTCAAGAAGACAAGCAACTTGTTTTCAAAAGAAGTTCTACGTTTTTTTTTTTATAATCAATATCTCTGTCAATACCTCATCTACACCATCCTGACTCTCATAACTGGCCCAGGCTTGCCCATCATCAGAGTATTGGACAATGTACTCTGTCACATACTCGTTAGTATGAGCACGACCTCGTGTGGCAATGCTGCGTATCTCAAATCTGTCCCCCAGTTCCACAGTAAGATGTTGATCATAACTGCTAAGCTCTGGTGACCACGTAGAACCTCCTGCAAAGCCCAGCCCCATGTCCATGTGTAAAAGAAAGAGTAGAAGCGAAGCAGGTAAGTAGAGATGAGTGTTTTAGAGAAATCGGATATGATTTGTAAAGTAATGATTCATCGTTTCGATTCTTATTTTAATAAATGCATTTCTAACGTTCATACTCTATTTACAATGGTATTTACGTATGGCTCATGTTACTCGTTAAAGGTTTTGAGTTTGCCAATGTATTCACTTTAACGAATAAAAATGCATCCTGGGAGTGTGAATTTGTGCAAAACATGCATTCGATACCTACCTATGGATCCTTGAAATGGGCACACGAATCTATAAGGGAATGTTCGTCGTTTCTACTCGTGCCAAGGTGCTTAACTATGAATGGCAAAATTATTAGAAGCCCGAGACACGGCTGTTTACAATAAGTGCAGTGCAGTAAGTTGATATTAGTCACTAAATACATGTACCTTCCTAACAAATCCCATTGTGGTTTACGGCTATATTTTTAGCACAGACACCGATTCAATAGTTGTGGAAGAACAGTTTACCTTAATGTTACCGTCTTCTTCTTTGAAATCAACGTAGTCCAGGCCATTTGTACCATAACTGATACCATACTCCATAACATACTCATTTTGAACAGCTCGTCCCTGGGTCGCCACGGTTGTGATGTTCATTACTTGACCCAGGTCGATTATAAGGTACTGACCAAAGTCTGAGCTGCTAGCCGTCCATGCGTTTCCGCCTACGCCACAACATACATATACGCATGCATGCAACTCAAAATGAACTTAAGGAAGCAGTCATATTTAACAAAGATAGAACTATCAGAGGATTAAATACTACCATCGTTATCGTATATAATTAACGCAAGATTAGAATTTATTTACGATCGGAAAATTACTGCTTTTTTTTTTTTACAGATACTTGAAAGTACTTACATAAAACACAGTCAAATTTCTCTTCGGTTTTACCGTTCGAATTTTATCATTGGAAGCAATAATTCTTGAAAGATTGAAGTACATATAGAAGAAAAAGCTTCAGGGGTACACGTTATTTTTTTTTAAAGTAATCCCTTTCCCAAGCGAAGGAAAGACAAAGTGTAACATGATCAGGTTTGTGTATCGTACATACTTGAAATACAACATAAAAATTTGTATAGAAGATTTACATTTTTTATAGTAATTGTTTCTGCGCATTTCGTTGGTCAAATGCAAATTTATATTTAAGTTATTGTACCAGTAAGGCCTTCTCAAGAGCAGGCTTTAAATAATTATGCAAGTCCACATCTTATATGTAACTACAAATTCTGCGTTTCTGACAATATTAGATAAGAAGGTGAAATAAAATTTATACAAGTAATTCTTATAAATTTATTACACTCACTGACTAAATTCATGTAGAATCCGTTATATCTGTACATCTTTATTACATATACGAGGAGAAATGGAATATGAAAAATATATTGAATGTTACAATATTATGGACATTCCACTTTTTTAAAATATTTTTCCGCGTATTCGGAATCTTGTGGAAATAATGGGATTGCGTTTGCGAGAAGTTCGTCGATATTTATGATTTCGAAAAGAGTGTTTTGCGATATGGGCGCTGTTCCATTTTCCTGTAACGCTACAGCGACGCAATGATGCGGATCCAATAACGATTCCTCGAACAACCATTCCTGTTTTGTGCCATTTCGATATAAGACTGTATCGGTAACCACAGAAGTCTCGACAAGTTTCGAATTGGTTCTAAAATCGATCGATCCTAGATCGATCGTAATACCTATGCCCAGAGCTTTCACGTAACTTTCTTTTAACGCCCAATGTCTACAGAACATATTAATTTGATCCGCTTCATTAACGGACGAGTTTTTTATTTCGTCCCATTCGGACACTGAACAGTTTCTATTCATTATGCGAAAAAATTCCGATAACTTTTTACCACCTGTGTACTCTAGTTTCATTACATCTACGCCTAATTTTACGTCTCTTGTCTCGCCAGCCAATACTGTATATTCACCGTGGTGGGATACGTTAATGCTTAAATTCAATGCATCGTTTTTTAAAACAGGCCTATTACTTTGATCCCTTGCGAACACTATAGCGTTATACGGGATATGTCCATACTTATTAACAAACTTTCTCAACATTAATCTGCCTACGAGGGAAGACCTAACATCTTTACGAAACACGAATCTGTCTAATCTTTCTTTCTCTTCTAATTGCACGCAAGAAATTGCGTGTGCAAAGTCCTTCTCGCTCGGATTCCATTCCTTCCAATTGAACGCCCATCGAATACTTTGAAACATTTTCTTAACATTAACTTTATCCGTTAATTTAACACGTTGGTTTCTCAATATACTAATATTCCATGAATTCTTATGTTCGTCCGTTTTGTTAAAACACTGCTTTTTAAACGATCTTGTCTTTAAAAATACCAGGCTACTCTTTAGCATCCACCTGAAGCAAATAGACAGGATAATTATATTACTTTTTCAATCGTTCAATCAAATTTTAATATTCATTTCTATCTTTTTATGCATTGCAATTTACAAGTTTATTAGTTTACGTTCTTCTTTGTTCATTGAAAATTAAATAATATATTAAATAATGTTATTTTTTTAATAAATTAATATTAACTGTCGGTCTTAAGCCCGTGGAAAACGTCAGTTTTGGGCAATCATTTAAAAGAAATATTAACATTAGTCATTCTCAGAAATAAGAATGGAGAAATTACTTTATGATGTAATCAGATGTACAGAATAACTGTGCAACGAGTCAGTGAGTTCAATTTACCTAATCCAGATCAGAAGTTCTCTTAATTGACGTAGGCGCGTGGGTGTTTAGAAGACCGATGCCCTTTTAACGCGCTCGGGCTTTCTAATTATTTGTATCTTCGTTTAGAAATACATTCACGCACGAAATATGTAATACACTACCTGGGGTTGTTATTAAGCGGGAACACTATCTTTATAGTCTCAAAAGGTTGATATTTTTTGCATTTTGCTAAACGAAAACGTTTGCCAGTTCTTCTTAAAACTTTAAATGCATTTTTTTCCAAAATTAAACAATGAAATTTGAACTGTACAAAAATATTAAGGATTCAATTTTTTTTCAGGAAAACCTGGATTTATTTTTTAAAAAATTTGCCATTCTTATACAAATCAATATTTTTAAAGGAGTGTTTTATTAATTTCGACCATTGAGATGGCAAAAAAAGCCATTCTACCAGATTGAACAGGAAATTCCAGTTCTGTGATGGGTGAGATTACAGGCTTTAAAGGCAAAGATGACAAACAGAAACCTGTGGATGTACATAAACATGTTTACTATCTGAAATTATGTGAAAGATTTAAGATAATGTACTTTCCTTTAAGTTATTAAGAAACAAATAGTAAGAGGCTGTTTAACATCAGCTATAAGATGCAGTAAGAGAAGGTATGCACTTACATGCAAAAAAAAACATTTAAATTACATGTAAAATATTTTTTGTATCATTTATGTTATATCATATATTCGGGTGGCCTGATTTAGGTAAGACACCACATATAACAAAAGCTTTAGTGCAAGTAGAACCCAAGCACACCATCAGTTGAATGCTGTTTGGCACTAAATCATTCAATACAGATACAAGATGTTTATATTAGACATTGAAAGATATTCCAGAATATCAACAGTTTTTCTGCCATAAAGTTAGTGTTCTCTCTTAAACAGAATTTACAATATAGACGAAGAGAAGCAATCTTAATAATAGTTACAGATTACTTGTATACTTCTTCAAAGTATAAAAATATATAGATAGCAAGCAACAAACTACCGACAGTAGAATATTTCTATAATTTTACGAATACAATTAACATAAGAAACATTATCCAATGTATATCTATGGAGAAGTGCATTATGAGATTTACAAGAAAATTGGAAGGAAACTTTACCATTAAGTCTGGCATTGTATGGGCCTCTTTCGGGCAACTGAGATGTGGCTCTTAACTGAGCTTTATCCAAAAGTGGTTGGTTACATTCATCATCTAAATAAAAGTTGAAGGACAATTAATAACACAGTTTATATGGATTAACGTTTAATATTAACTACAATTATCTTCAATGGTAATATTTCAATAGGGTTCAATATACGTATGTACTGTATTTATTTGTTTCGCGTAAACTGTTAATCCAATAATGTAATCACAAAACGCTGCAACAATTTAATACCATGTATTCGCGGGCGTAATGTGTCAAAGTTACAAACAATACAGTGGCATTCGAATTGTATGTTAATATACGCGTTAATCGCATGAAAAATTACAAATTGGGAATGTCTGTTCTTGTCTCGGTAAGTCTGTTATAAGTTAACACCACTACGCCATGTTGCGAAGTGGGCTTGGCTGTATTGAATCATCTCGTAAAATGATTGCATCTTCGGAGGAAATAGTTTCCGATAATTACCAATAAAGTCTACTCACATGCGGAAGTGAACGAATTACTTATAAACGCCAACACTAACACTGAACACATGAAAGTACTCATCGTAGCATTGCCCTTTTAGAAAGTAATGTACGAGCAACGTACTCTTAAGCGGGACGCGTCGTTGAAACTGTTACTAAATTCTCGCCACTGATATTACTGTTCGGTTTCAGAAGAAAGGTGATTCGACATCAGTGTTGCCGTTCGACAAGCCTGCCCCCACTATAAAATCGTTGTGACGATTACATGAGAACCTCGTTGCGCCCTCCGATGGAAGAAATTTCCAGGTTCAGTGGCCAAACTTTGTTAGTATATTCTATGGGCATAGAGTTGGACAAATTTTATTCGCGAATAACGAATAAAATTTTGAAAATCATTTGTAAACTGTTTCATATTCGTAGAAAAAGAAAAGTTGAGTTAACTAGAAAATTATGACAAAAATACAAAATACGAAAGAAAAAGGATCAACGATATTAATAATAATTCCATTTACGACGTTGGATCTGTTGTAAAGTCATATAAACGGTTTATTATTACGTATAAAAATTTATACGTAACGAAACTTTATGGTACGAAATATAGAGAAATATTGAATTAAAATGTTTGCAGAACAGACGGTACAATATAATTTTAACTTCGCTTTAATAACATTTCTTATTCATTTTTAAATGTACACATTGGTTTTATTGGTCGTAGAGTAATAGTATAAACGCGTACAATAAAAATATTTGAATATTTTGTATTAAAAATAAATATATATTTAACTAGGAGAAACAGTTTATCTTTCGACATGTTCCGCGACATAATTATCACAAATAACCAAAGCTTCGTAGAATAAACAAGGTTCTTCTTGACCGTCTACGGGTATATAACATACTTGATGATTTGGTTGTATTTTTCCTATATAATATACACCTTCGTACAAAACTCTTCCTATATAAAGGTCATATCCATCTTCCGTTTCGCCAGCCGGAAGCGCATTTAACGGAATACTTCCTCCCCACGAGCGTACCCAGCTTACGTTTTTAACGCATAATACTTGAAATTGTTTTTTATTGTAAGAAGCACCCCCCCATACAATTGTACATATATTATTTCTAATACCACCAGGTGTGACTGAATCTCTGTGATGCGTACGACCTATGTACAAACCATCCTCTGAGGCTGCTGCAGCATTTTGTGGAAAACCAAGTGATTCGTTATAATCTACCCAATAATGACAAGTATTCGCCAAATGATGTCTACTAACTACAGCCGTGTGCTTGGATTCTGAAAACGACAGGTACGTTAACGATCGTATTCGGCCGTAATCTTGTATATCGAGTCTTCGAAACGTACCTTCTATAAAAAATTCACCGGTAGTATCCCATGCTGTATTTACTCCTATATAATTCAAAGCAAATGGATTTGTATCTTTAAACGACATAAAACTTTCTTCATTTTGGTGGCCGACGCTCAAACATCCGTCGCACGTCCATCTAATCAATATCAGATGAGAAATGTAATGTTGAATATATTTCTATTGTATTAAACAGACTAAATTGATTTTAAGACGACTACGCGTTCCTTGCAAGTAATTAACTGAAACAAAATTAAGAACTGCTAAGTTTGAATTACTCACTTTATCCAAAAAGGGCACACACGCTCAGAGTGTAGTATGTCTTTGGTTTCAGCCTCCGCAACATTAGGGTTTTGACCATTCCTTCTTATCGCAGACATTGTGTTTCCCCATCCTCCAAAAATAATCTGTAGTTATAACAATGATGTCTATTTCATCTTCAGGTATTGAGAAAATTATAGCTTCATGGGGATGCAAAGGTATACCTCATACATGTTGGAATCTGAGCCCAAATGAGTACGCAAACAAATTCTTGCATCATGGGCAGCTTGTATGCTCACATTAAGACGAGACTTTGTAGTAGGGAAATAATGATAGGCTAAATTGTTCAATGGTATTATAATACTAACTGAAAACGAAAATTATTGTTATCTTTCTTCCACTTAAATGTGCTATTTATGCTTTGTTTTTTTTAACCAACTGTATGACAATACACATGATAACATTGAAAAAAGTTGTTTTTCAATACTGGTCATGTCTGCAAAATTTTCCAAATATTAAAATAACATCAAAATACTGCTTACAATGCACAGATAATCTACTCAATCTGTAAAAGTTTCTCAATTAAATTTACTTATGCTAAAGTCTAGTATTTCTCTTTCGTTTGTAATGTTACAAAATATGATTTTCTGTATTTTTCTGTCGAACACTGGGAAATTTGGCACGGTCAAGGCAACCAGAATCGAAGTATGCGTCATATGAAATCCACGCAATGTACATTTTGCGTGTTTGTTATTGGAGTACTTACTAGACATGGTTGTTCGTTTAATCAGCCAAACAAGTCTCTGTTATTGTTCACGGAACGATCGTAATTTACTGCGACAGAGGGGGCATACGTGACCACCTTTTTGGATTTCTTAATTTAGTGCAACGGACGTGTTGTCTAGTTGATCTCATCGCAGAAAACCGATTTGTCTCGTTCGTGGGGATAGTGTTCCATGCGTAAAATCGAACCATTCGATTCTGAATCGACTTTCTACATAAGATCGATTTCTTTTAATCGACTCTTGCATGTTCGAGAGTCGATTTTTTTTACACGAGAATCGATCTTCGATTTATCTACCTAGCCTTTCGTAAAACGTGGGTTTCATCTTGTTATCGTTTCACTTAAACTTTACGCGGGTTTCTTTCAATGGCGTACTCAGAATTTAATATATTTAAACAATAATTGACACTTTCCGTTCATTTATTTGTAAATAGCTAAGGGGGCTGTTCAATTTGCTCTATTCGAACTACCTTTCTTGCGACAAAAGCAAGTATTTTTGCTGGAATATCTACGTTTTCTTCGTTGGACATTCCTAAAAAATTAGTGGAAAGTAGGAAAAGTTAAAAGTAGTGAGGATAATCGGTGGACTCTTATTATATGAACTACTTGTTCCCTGTTGTGTTCATATAAATGGAGTTGAACTGTACAAGAATTGTATTTTTAATTAGCGTTCTCATAGCATATCGTACGCACGCGCATCTCGCAAAACAATTCCATTGGCGTAAATTTCAAACATCGCCATGTCTAATTATGGTTTCAAAGCAACCTATTGTCGCATTAAGGGAACATTAGGTATACGGAGTACCGCTACAACTGGTATTACCACATACCTTTCCCACTTTCGTATCAGAAATCTGTCTGGCCTCGAAAGTGTAACACATTGGTGCTCACCTAATTATCCCTCGTTTATCAAACGTGCTGCATTCCTTTAACAATTTTACTTGCAGCGATAAACGTTAATCGTTCTTAATTTTCCGCTCGATTTCGATCGAATTCCTAAACAGAGTTACCAGAAAAATATTAAGTTTCTGATCCAGCAATAACTTTTTAAAGAGGATCATCTGAAACGTAGAAATGACTTTAACAGAGAAGCATGGCGGTGCGTATAATTCACGGATGCAATGATTTATATTCATCGACATCAAAGAAGCGACCGCTTGGAATTAATTTAGCGTCCACTTTCCATTTTCATTTTACTTTCTGCATGTCGACTAACGCTACTCGTTGTTACGCGTGCGCGACTTTTACCTTTTCGCGATCATGTGATGACCCCTTGAAATAGTATTGCACTTCGATGCGTGGTAGCAGAATAATAAAGTATAATAATACTTATCGTGTTTTTACGATATCGTTCAAGAACGAAATTTGTCGTATACGAGCATTGTTTAAACGAACTTAAGGATTTTCTCTCTCATATACACACGCTCGAATGCATGTGGCGTCAGTACGCGAGCAGGATGACTAAGGAGTGTCCTAGGTCATTGTCATTAACGTATTTGAATTCACCTGATTGACTCACGGTCGACGTACGTTTTAATGGCGCGCGTGTGCGGAAAGTAGAAAGCATTGCGAAAGGTAATGACAAGGGTGCATACGCAGCGTCATTCCGGCTTTCGTGTCCTGGCATAACATGCAATCATTTTTCTGCGTCGTTCGCGATCCACATGTACTACCGTCTCGATCGTTTGAGGTCACTGCCTTAGCCCTTTCGCTTCGAACAATATACAATATATGTATGTACAATGGATGCCTCAAGCTTTACATCTACAATTCATTTTTACACCGACTCAACGACGATATATATCTTTCATTCTATTATAATTATTATTATATGTTAGCTCGAGATCAATATCGAGGTTATCGTCGCATCGTACCGATTTGGCGATCCGATTACATCGAAATTCAACCCAAATCCTTGACGAAGATCCGTCGTATTTTTTAGGGAGCCCCGTGAAAACTTTCTTTCGGACGAAAGGCGATTGGTATTCAAGGTACTCGTGCGTTTTATGCGGGATGTAAACCGAGCAAAGCGGTCTTTCCGATGTTTACGAATTTCGATCCTGAAGCGAGATCTTCTCGGGCATTTTCTATGACTGCGTTTTAAAATAGAAACACGTCGGGTTTTAAGTAGGCTGGCCTTAAGTCTCTTCGTTCCAGCGATATCGCTGGAATAAGATAGCGTGCGAACGACGATGATGGATGGTCCCGATGTTGCTGTAACAATGAAATTGTGCAACTTAGATTATTAAAATTTACAGATGGAATTTAAAATTACTGATTATTACGATATTTATAATTTCCAAGACACGTTTGCCAAGACTGTTTACTAACAAGGAGAGGTCGTAGCCGTGGAGTCGTCGATTTTATTCAAATTTTTTAACAATATTCATTGTATACAAAGATACTTAACGCAGACCTAAACGGAAGATTAAGATAATTAAATAATATGTTTTACGTTATCCTTAATTCTTGTTATTGAGGTCGCATTCCGCGAGAAGACGTTACGTTGTTTGCCTTCGTGTTCCTCGCGTCTCGCCCCGACGAAGGAAAGTTACCCACCCACCGTAACAAATATACGTACGATATCCTTGGCAATAGTAATGCATAGAAATCAGGGCAACATATTTACGAGAGTCTATAAGTCGGTAAGGATCTCTCGAATCGTGTTAATCGGTAACTAAAGACGTGAAAAGCTCGAAAGTGCACGCGTTCACGTGCGAGACCGACCGTTATCCGATTATGAAAATTGGGAAATATTAACTGGAACATCGCAATGGCCTGTATTCCCCCACAGAAAGGAGGGGAAGGGGGGGATACCCTCTGTTGGATTACAGTCGTTATTACCGCGCTATGTAATGATATGTTCTACGTTACGTTCCAACTTGGTCTTCTAGTATTCTGTGAAAGGGACACTTTTCTGCGTCCATTAAAAAGTCTAATTGCGTCTAGGTAGGTCATGCTCCTCGTAGTTCACTGAATAGTCAGACGCACGACTGACCCATTGCTTTCCCCGTAAAAGTGAAGAGTTAAATCAGGTTGACTCTTTCTCCCTGCTCTGTATGGTCGAGTACCAACCAATGTCCTATCAGTATGTGCACATCAAGATCGCTTTTACCTTTTTGTGGACGAGGAGGGATTCCTAGGAGTATAAAACAGTAAGGAGCAGATTCGCATGCCAGTATGTGTGTAGTTACAATTTGGTAGAGTTTAAACCTTTGCTCCGCGGCACGGTAGGACATAGTTCGTAACTCGAATCCAGACATCCCTCACCATGGCGAATATAATTTCGCTCGTGAGTACCATTCAATCTCTATTTTTCGTTTACATTCTTTTTCAATATTCCCCGATTCTTCGTTGCTTTTACGTTCCGGCCAATCTTCGAGTCCTGGCACGGCATTAACGTTTTAGAGTAACTTCGTCGGTAAAATTGGGCAGATTATTCGCCCGTTGCAGTGTGAGTATCCATTTATCGTGAAATTGTTCTACTTCTAGAGTTCAGTAATCTTCGGCTGCATCTTGTTGGTGCACGCGGAACCGGCAACTACCAGTAAGTAGCAATTAATATATTCCTCGGCCAATATCATAATAAATGTACAAACTTTTCTCGCTGTCCGTCTTAAAATACATAGTTCATTATTATCTTTACGTTGCTTTTGCTCTTCGATCGTAGGCTACTCCATCAGAGGCGACAGCAACGGTTTCGATTACAATACTAACGCCATCAAAGACGGTCACAGAGAAACCACGGACTTTTACGCTGGCGGAAACGGCGGACACTCGGCCAACAGCAGGAGCCAAGGAAGCCTCGAAGAAAGTTTAAGAACCAGCACTTACAGTGGATTTTCTCCAAGTTCCCACGAGAGTGGGTTCCAAGGATTTTCCAGCAGCGGCCGCGAAAACCTGGGCACGAGTTCTTACTTCAGTAGCGATCCAGCCCAGTCCTCCTTCGACGGTTTCACGACCAGCAACGGCAACGGGGACACCACGTTCGACAGCTACGCAGCGCAGAGCAACGACCAAACGGGATCCGACTTCGGTCAGTACTCCGGCAACAAGCACAAGACCTCTGCCTACATGAAATTCACGGATAGTCTGCCCGGCGCCTCGAACGTTGGGAGCTTCAGCGGCGTGGCTCCTGAAAGTTCTGCGTTCAGAGAATATTCCGGAGATGCTTTCAGAAGCCACGCGTCGGATTACACGGACAGCGAGCAAGCCTTCGGTAGAGAACCGTCGAATTTGTTCAACAGTCCAGCCACTGATTATTCGTACGGGAAACACAAGGAGGGTGTCTTTGGAATGGGAGGCGGTAACAAATACGCGACCGACTCTTATCCTCTTCACACCGATATGCGTTATGTTCGCGGGAACCACGGAACAATGGGACGCGATTACGCGACTACCTCGTATTTGTCGACTTCTGCGAGCAACCCTTTCGCCGGGCTTCGAGGAACCAGCGGCCCTTACAGCTCAGGGAAAGTCAACAAATACAATAAATACGTAAGCGACTATGCCCCCAGCGCGGGCTTGAATTATCTTTCCAAGGACCTGGACACTGATTATCTATTTAGCAACTACGGGAAGGGCAGTGGAAAGTCACCAGCGTTGAAGGATAGCAGACCGAGCAGTTACGGGGGTCAGGCTTATCTCGGTGGACCGTCGTATCTCAATAAAATAGCTGCGAGTTACAAGAGCAAACCGAGCTACATGAACTACCCGAGCAGTTCACCCATTGGTTATCCTTCAATGTCTAGTTTACACGGCAGTTTCAATGGTAACAGTTACGCGGACAGCCCCATGCTTAGAAGATACCGAAGCAGTAGTGGATACGTCCCTGGCCATGGAAGTATATACTCTGGTTATTATTAACACTTCTTCTACGCGACAAATGTGATGGACATGTTATATTTTGTACATATTTATTATACGATTATTTAATGTTAATTAAAATCATAATTGTTGATACGTTGTTTAAAATAAAATTATTAAAAAAATTCACACTGGCAGCACGATATCTTCCTTCCAATGCGTCGTTACGAGTAGTCTCTAATTATGGCGGCGTTCGTGGAAGCTTTGGTTTCGATACGAACGCTTCTTCGGTATCGCTCATGGTTTTATTACCACTGTCGATGTTCCTACAAGAAAACATATTCTAATTCCGAGTAACGTGCAACGAAATGAATATAATTGAAAGATATAACGGTCAACGAAACGGCTCGTTTATTCGAAAGCTCCATACTATAGAAAAGTATCTAAATCCCGGTATAAAAGTATAAAACGGTGCACGATTATACGATACAATGACGTGCATAAATTTCAAAATCACTCGGTGCACTGTATCGACGATAAAATCTTGACTCACAACGACGCTATACTACTCAACTTCTGCGTGACTGGAAAAAAACCAAGAATTCATTCGAATTATTAACACCAGGCCTGCAATAATTAATTAATTGATAATAAAATTTATGTGTTTATCGCGAATGTGCGCGTGTGTGTCGGTTAAGAGTTCGTCACTTTCATTTACTTGCTCTAGTTTTCCCAAGATCATGACCAAATACGTACACCTTTAAGAGAAAGTAGTAAGAGCTTTCACTACTTGCAACTTATCGTGGAAGTGGCTTTTACGATTGACGCGTGAAACGTGGCAAGAATGTAAAGCGTTTAGAAATTTTTGGAAAACCAGTTAATTGGTATATATCTTTCCTTTTAAATTAGTATTATCTAAGTTAGGAAGCGCGAAAGGAGATTTTTAATGTAGAAAAACGCGTGTAACGAGTCTTAAATGGTTCCGCTTTGCTCATTTAATAAGTGTGCTAAATAAAATTAAACTAACACTTATTTATTCGCTGCAAGGAAGTTTTATTAAACATGCGTACCTGCTAATTCAGCTTCGCTTCCAGCCTCTAAGATCGTCGACGAAGCTACAGTCGTATTGCTACTCTTTCTATAAAAGAATTTCATTAATTCTATAATGATAAACCTTGTTGATAACGTGTTTATAATCAGTTGTGAAAAAGACACGAAAGTCTATTGATTAAAAAACTGAAATTGCTGTTAATGTGAAAAAGAATATGTCTCATAAAATAATAACGAACTTGGACGATTGATTTTCATACAAATATACAGCACTTTCATTGTAATCTTCATTTACAGAACTCCTATTATCTTTCAATACTTTTGAACGTGTATTTTTCAAGCCCCTATTTATTACTGCTCTACTAATCAGCGTGTTTGCATTATGTGCTATTAACTGTTTTGGCAATTTTCTTTGAGCATTCAACATTATATCTCTATAGTGATTTTTCAAATGAGTATTCGAATCAATTTCCGTATAATTTTTGGTCAGAAATTCAGAGCTTTCGAAGGTGCTCATTACTTTGGATGGGAAATTCCATTTTTCGTTTGTATTTTGACTACTAATTTGTCGACCCTTAAAACCATTACAAAATATTCAGTATATAATTCAATTTAATCGAAGTTTTGTATTTTATGACAACGCTGTATTCTCTCAAGTACCTTGAACGGGGAAGAAATTAATTTATGTAAGGGTAATTTCGAATTTAAATATGATCCTTTAATTGCATCCTGCACTACCGGAGGACTGTTTCTATTTTTTATCCCATACTTTTTGTTTACTGGTCTTTTCAAAGGACACCAATTTTTTATTAATATATAAATAGAATATTCTTGAATGCAGATACAATGATAATACCTTGGTAAATGTTTCCCAGACGATTTTATTTGTTCTTCATTGCCGTGTACGACAGAGTTTATTGACGCGTCTGAAATCAATTCCTCTTTGTGAAAAGTATTTGGTAAAACGGTATAGCACGATGCGAGTAACGGTTCCCCACATAATTCGTCGTATTTATTCTTTACTGGATCGTTTTCTTCTAACTCGCTCTCTAATACATCAAACTCTTCCTAAAAAATGTGTTATTGTTGAACGATAATGAATCGGTTCCTCGATACACTGCTACTTACATTATCATTGTCCGCCATTTCTTTAATTTCTGTTTCGATGGTAATCTCGCCTTTATGTATTTTTAAAATTTGATCCAAGTATTTCCTATTATTTGTTTTATCGTGTCGTTTGAAAAGGTTTTAAAAAATACGAGTTTTATATGCAGGGTGTTTCCTTTAACATTCTTTTCCCCTATGCACGCGTGACTTTTGTCACTTAGATTAAAGAAAACACCTCGCATAGTGCATAAAAAAAATTGTACCTCGCTTCTTCGTTCTTATGTTTACTGTACTGTTCCAACAGGGACGAGATATTCAATTTCTTTGCCTCTTCATTAATCGTGTGATTAGTCAAGAAGATACTTAATGCTCCATTGACGTATGGTAATGCCTAATATACACATATAGAGCATTAAAGTCGTCCGTTCCCCAATTTTCGTTAAAAAAAAATGATTAATTTATTGAAACGCACGTACCGACGAATAGTTCATTACAAGCAACTCGGTTAGCGTTGAAATAAGCAGCGACGCCATATTGGATGCTCTTCTTTGAGCTATTTGATGCAAGGATAAATTCATTAAAAGGGCTGAAGCGTATTCTAGTCGATAAGCGTCTATAACGCTACACTGGTCGTGCAAATGATGAATCAACCACTCTACCAATCCATTTTCTATCATATATATTCGTTGCTGTTTACGCACTGATAACTTCTGCAGCGTCGCGATCATCATATCGCAAGTAAACGTATCTAGGTCGTTATCGCAAGCATTCTTGAGGCAATTGCATACCTATAATATCTTTTTCTATTTGTTCTATGATCTTAATTACCAACGACACAACGTTAACAGAAATTTCCTCGACGAATACGTACCACATCAACGACTGTAGAATCGAACGACAAATAATCTCGTCCGCACCTAAACGACGCTAAAGCATTTAATAATCTCGCGATTGATTGTTGCAAAGATTGTGGCATAACAGTGTTATCTAGTGGTAGTAAATACGGTAGGATGCATTTGCCTTCATAACCAGCAATTTGTCCATGAAGGCCTAGCAAGTCTTTGCTTATATATTCGTGCACTGTTTCCTCTCTTTCCCCAGCTAGGCTAACAGTTATTTTCTAAAAAAAGATGATGCAACTTTTACATAAAAATTTTTAAAATCTATCGCGAACAACCCAAAAATTGATTAGCTTACCCTTCGCAACGCTTGCAGGAGAAACAGTTTCGTTTTGATACTTCCATTTATCAGATGTAACTTGATCTTCTTGAAATTCAATAATTTAGGAGACGCGAGTACAACGTACGGTACGGAATGTTCAACAATCTTCATCTCTGAGTTAGATTTATCTAATAGCAACTCTGAAGAACACTATGCACACACAACGGTATTAAAAAAAATTTTGAAAATAGTTTATAACGCTTCAGAGAGGACGTTCTACAGATGGGACAGCTGTTACTTACATACGAATTATCTTTTATATTTTGATTAAACAAATCTGGGAAAATCTTCATACAAGTTTCTAGCATAGCTTGGAAATCCATGGCATGACCTCTCGCCGAATTTTCCAAAGCGGTCGTCAATACTCTTGCGATGGTCATTAATTTATGATAATCCGCGTGTAACTTATGGAACCTTACTTTTAATTTTTCGTAATTAGAATGCACGCTGCATAAGCGGAATTTCGTCACCGACAATTCTTGCGAACACTGCAGTAACTTTTTTTTGCTTTTAATCAAATTCGAAAAGTTCATTAATACAGTCTGCACACTTTTTGACTTTTGATTATGCTTCGTATCGTCGGACAAAGTATATTGTTCTTCGTCTTCGTCATTCTCTAAAAACACTGGAATGTTCCTATCGTTTGGTACGATTGGTACATTTCTCTGTCCAGTTGTTCTCCTTGTAATGGAATCTGTTTGCGACTCCTCCGACACAGACCCATGCTTTGGAGACATTTTATTCGAGTCTACGATATTGCATCCTACGTCGCTGATATTCTATACATTGAACAAATGTTTATGAAATATTTCGTTTATACATTTTCAAGTTTTCAACGTGTACTTAAGACACACGTGTAGTTATAGAAATCTGCTAATGCCCATTCTCTGACATCTAAGAAACTTGTAAGCGTGGGCCAGAAATGACCCGAGTGTATTTTAGATACACGTGAAATAAAGATTTCTAGTAGTACTTCACTTACTTGTTGTTTATATTTTTTAAGAAACACACATAAGTTTTCGGTTAGTTCGTCTATCCAACTTTTTTCAAATATTTTCGAAAGAGACGGTTCCGCGTATGGATTCTCGATAAATGGTAATGCAAAAAATGGTCTCAATTCCATATCATTCTTTAATTCTTTGCCAGTTGTATTTAAAAATACGCGCAACTCTTCCATACTATTGTTCATATTCTCCTCTATTTCGATCATAAAATCCTGTTATTAATGTTAAATCGATTACTACAAATGTACCATTCGTTCGGTTATTTACATTAACGATCTTAGAATTCAAATAAAAAGAAAAAGAAAACGAATTTGTATAAAGTAATTTGGATAAACATATTACAATAATGTGTCAGGATATTTTAAGTTCCTTTAACAGAAAAGATTTAATAAGTAAAATCGGAATAACTGTAATATAAATTAAATTTCATTGTATTAGGTACAATTAAAATTACCTCTTCATACTCTGAATCTTGTTGACTCAAAGATGTCATAGAATTAACTGTATCTGTTTGTGTTTTATCTAAATAATTGTAAAGAAGTACTGTCACTAGTTATGTACTCATTGAAATTTGTTATACACTATGTTATCATTATTACCTTTTTCTTTGTACCAATATGAAAGTAATATACGTTTAGGTAACATTGTGAAGTATACGTGTAAATTTAGTGTCAGAATTTTATAGGCTTTTGTTTGTTTTGCATCTTCAGGTATTAACATGTTCCATAACTAAAACCAACAAAGTTTTTTTATTAGGAACTACAGGAAGGCAGCTTTTAACACTACCTCATTTAATGCTGTCTTCGTGCAATTTGCTTTTAACAATTTGTAAAAATGGGGTTCTTTCATATAATCAACTCAGTGGACAATTAGTAATCAAAGGGCAGGATAATCTGTTAAAACATCATTCAAAACTTTCAACACCTACTGTAAGGATATTTGTCTCTTCACCTATCTCCATTTAAGATAAAGAACATTTGCCAAGCATTAAATGGAGTCTTATTACATAAAGCTGAACGAAAAAAAAAATACTTTTGTCATACTTTGAAAAATGTTCTCCAGTCCCCTGATTTGTAGGTTAACATTATTTGTTCATGAGGCTCTGTGTAAGTTTCATTGTTTGTTTTTAAATTGTTCTGAAGGTGTTTGAAACCCTTTGTTGCTGCTTCAGCTATCAATGCCCCAGCAGTGCTTTCAAAATTGTGTTCTATAAGAAACTGTACCAAAATATGTATACAGTTCGAATCATTAAAAACATAATTTCGTAAGACAAATGTTTATGAAATATACCTGATGAAGAAATCTTAAATCCTTGTTATCCGTTAAATCTACAGTAAGATTCTTATCCATTTTGCTCTTTATTTTTTTAAATAATCATGCAATAGTAGACGCGTGTAACATAACAAAATGTTACAATTATTTTTAGGCGACTATATCTTTAGAGACTTGCGCGAAATATCCACCTCCGCTAATATTTAGCACAGGGAATGTTTTTTCTTTTAAATCTACGTTGAAAATGTCAAGTTGCGTGTAGCAACTATGTATTGTGTCAAAATAATTTTGTACTATAAATTGTTAATTTATTCGTCTATCAAAAATATATATTGATTTAGCGGTCATTGAAAACTTGTGATTACTATAAGGTTATGTTTACAGTCTATAGAATTTGTTGTTAAGAATTTGTAAACGAATTGTTAGTGCATTATACCCCGTATCGAAAAACTTTGTATACCATAGAAATACGAAATCTTGCGATTGGTAGAATACTGGTGACTTTCTTTTAAAGTGGCAAGATTATGTACGCATACGCATTTTTAAAAATCTTATTTATTTACTGTTATTCTCAGTAGACCAATATTTATTCTTAAATACCCTAACTGCATAAACAACAGTAAATAATTTTTATGGACCAGTTATGTTTACATTTCTTTTTACGTATTTTCTGAAATCAAGGTCTCATTTTGAAACACCCTATATACACGTTTAATTGTTTACAGATGTACATAACCCTGATGGCTATATAGTGAAACATTCGTAGACAATAAATTAATTTTTTATTGTTTTATTTTAACCATTGAGAAATGGAAAAACACAAATGTGTTTTTGCTGGAAACATAATTCAAGAGGTTCATTTTCACATAAAAGTTCATACTGCAGGTTAGATTTCGATTCTGTGCTTCATAACTATGAATTTATCGTAGGTGCCCGCTTCTGCTATCTATGTACCGAATTTTATTACAAAAGAGGAAGAGGTAGAAATTGTTAAGCATATCAATAATGCTCCTTTACCAAAATGGACACAGTTGAGCCATCGCCGTTTGCAGAACTGGGGTGGCATACCACATCCCAAAGGTATGATAGCAGAAAAAATACCAATCGTAAGTATTTCATAATACATATATGTACGAGCTACGTTAATCTCTTTCAACTTCGAGGGAAAGTTATCAGCGTTCAACTTTTCCTCTCGCGAAGGAAACAAGGAATTTCAGGTCCGCTGAAAGAAAATTGACGCTAGAGAGTTTCCCTCGAAGCAGGGGATAACTTAATGCGACCGACCATACATAATATATTTGAATAAAAAGTGACATCAAAATCTGTGGTAATAAATTTTTAGTGGCTTCAAAAATATGTTGACAAAGTGTCATCTTGTGGTGTATTTGAAAATGATAAGCTACCCAATCATGTTCTGATTAATGAATACTTACCTGGCCAGGGAATAATGGTACGTAAGTTTTATATGACTATGTATTTTTTATTAATTCTAAACACAAGATGCATATCTTTATATATATTAAAATGTAAAATATGATGTTTGTTTATCAGGCACACTCAGATGGTCCACTTTTCCATCCTATTGTAACAACTATTAGTTGTGGATCTCATACACTTCTTGATTTTTATAAACGACTGGACACCGCACAGGTTGTAACAACTGCAATATATTAAACTGCCTTAAGGGGGGAGGGGGTATAGGATTCGTAAAATTGAAATTTTCCCCCTACAGTGTTAGTAGTATCCGCAATCGGATATCACATTATATAGAATCAAAATAGCGTAAATCATTCGATCTATCGAATTCGCGTTACAAGTAAACATAAAATAATATTTTATCTGCAGACTCCTATACTCCCGCGAGTACCTTTGAAGTATTAATAATGTGTGTTATTTGTAATATTTTTTTTCAGCTGCAACAACCTAATTTAGAGTTTAGTTTCCTATTAGAACGTAGAAGTTTGCTAATTCTTCGGGAAGATTTGTATCATTGTTATTTGCATTCGATCGCGGAAAGAGACGCGGATATTGTTTCAAGACATGTGATAAAAAATTTGAACATATGCGGAGAACAGTTTACCGAAGGGCAGTCGTTAGAACGGGACGTTAGATTGTCATTAACGATTAGACATGTTCCTAAAACTAGTAAACTGAAGCTAAAGATCGGATAATGCATTTTGCGTATACATTACTTGCATACGCGTATATAATTTACTATCGATAATTTTCGTATTTTTCTATTAGATAGTAATTTAAAGGGCAATGAAACTTGATGAATAATACGTAATTCTTGTACATTCGATTATTTATAAAATTTACAAATATTTATTTACAAAATGTGTTTACCTCAATTTGCCTCTGCTTTAGAAGACATTGGAGTATCTGTATCCTCATAATTTTCTAAACTCACATCCATTATTTCCTCATCACACTCATTCAACATTCCTTGTAAAGAATGTATAGAAGAGATTAAAACATGAAATTGTTTACGTCTCATTTCCAATTTGTGTTCCAATTGTTCAGATTTTTCCTTTATATTAAATCATATTTACATCAGCTTCTTTTAATATCATGCAGCAAAATGTAATTTTACAACCATTATAATCCAAACACATACCTTCAATTTGTCTAATTCTTCGCGCAGTGTAGCCAGCTTTAAGTTAGTTTGTACCCTATCTGGCTGTTCATTTATGACTTTAGCCAACACATCATACTCAATTCTGTTTTTTCTCACGCGTTTTGCATCCTGCAACTCTGCCTTTGTCTTTTCTATATCTCTTTTGGCCTCCTCTATCTGAATTTCAATTTCTTTCGATAACTGTTCATAGCTTTTTAATTCTTCCTGACTCATATTTGAGACTAGTCTGGATTTTCGTTGCGCGAATTCACATTGCGCGAGTTGCGACAACATTCTTTCGTGCAACGTGTTATCCGCGTCCGGGCTATTTATCCATTTTATGAATGATTTCAACAACATATTTATTCTACGATCGTCTCCAGTACCGTCTCCATCTATGAGTAATCTTCGACGTATTACTTCTTCTACAGAAACAAACAAATTAGAAAAGTATTAATATTTTGCCGAATAGTGTAACACATAACTTTCACGGTAAATATAAATAATACAACGGGTTATGTGCGGACGAACTTACCGTCAGACATCTTTTCACCTCTTCCAAAAAATACGGGTTAAATAATGTAAATAATATGTTATTTTTTAATATGTTTAATTGATGTTATTCGTCCATTATTAATATATACACACAAAATTATTAAAAGACAAAACGACGCTTTGAATACCACGCATCGTGCCTCTCTTTATACAATTTCAGACGCTTTAAGATAAGTTTCCACGTGACAGTAAAAGTCATGATCTTTGCTATTTCGAAAGTTCATGACAGTGTGATAGTCTCTGCCAAAGATTTATACCGATATTTCATTGTTATTTTTTGTTTGCACATTTATAATCCTTATAAAAACCGAAATACAGAAATACCGGTATGACGTCATAACGCTTTATGGAAATGTGGTTACCAGAAGTTACCGCTAGTGACGTAGATGGCGAGCTGAGGCATTATACCTGTTCACCTTCATGTTGAGACATTCGTTTTCATTGAATATAAGCCTTATAAATTCCCTAGTCTCGTTTCTAGGGAGGAATAAGGCTGTAGCTCCAACGGAACGGCAGGAATTATAATTGAATTTATTGATCGTCAATTATTTAAACAATTACAATTGGGATTGAGACCTAACCTACATATTTTGTTTAAGATTGTGTCATTTATTTGGAGGCAGCTTGTTTTTCAATAGTACCTAGTCTATGGTAGAAGGTATATTTAGTTCTAATTCCTATCGCTACGATCACTATAGCCTTATTCCATTTCGAGTCGATCACGTTGGATGTGACAGGGAAATGATATTATGGTAGTTCAAGAATCGTGCGTCCATCGATGTGGCAACCTATTCGAATAAGAAAGTTGACATCGCTGGCTCATTTACAAGGTAATTTTATTTTTCCATATGTTCTCAGATATCGAAGATAATCGCATTCATTTCTGCGTAATAGGGCCAAGAAAGAATGAGTTAAACGACAATTACATTTAATTATTTTTCCGTTGGTCAGAAGACTTTAGTTAACAATAAACGTGCTTTTGACATTCGTTTCTTATCGCGCAGAACGAATAGTTTTAATAGAGCTTACGAAGGAGCAGAGATAATGCCCCAAGAAAAGTTATTAGGTTCCGCAAGACAGCGAATGCAGCGCGTTCCCGTTGGAATATTAAAATAATCCGCCATTACTTTAATAAACCTGTCTTCTTTGTTCCCTTCGTCCGGGCGACTTTTCTATGCTCCTCGAAGAATTTCGACGCGGCAGTCGCAGATGTCACTGTACCCCTAATGAGCGCGCTATTTTTCACCAGTATTTTTATCCCGTTTATTGGCTGCCCGTTTCACAAACTGTCAGCCGGATATTAATCATCCCGCTGTTACGACTCTGCCTTTATTTCTTCGAAGGATAAAGAATGAAAAAGGCCAGGGGAAGGAAAACTTGTGTTCCTTCATTAGTAGTATTAAAACGGCTCTAATACAGCAGATTTCATTGAGCTGGGGAGCTGTCAGACGGTAGAATAATTTTTTATATTATACATTAATTAATTTATAGGCCTCCTGGCTATTCCATTATTCCTCGTAGAATATGTTAATTATTTTCAATACACACCAGTTTCGGACAATTTCTATCGTTATTGTAATATCAAATGCTACTTTATATTCTATGGACTACTTTTTGAGGTTGGTACACTTTGCAACCATGTGCATTGTGGCTCTTCGATCGTGAAATCAACCTGCATTGTGTTTGAAACAGTTTCTTGTCTTAATCATATTATATTTGTGATAAAATAAATCGTTGTATGTTAAACAGGAAGAAATTATGCTGCATTCGGGGGAACGAAGAATATAAGGAAAGTTCTACCACGATTTATTATGGTCGAAACGAGAAATTTGCCAGTGAGTACATGTGCGTTCTTAAAAATTTTACAACGTGTCTAAATATCTCAAAATCGTATATTCTTTTTAACAGAGGATCGTGAAACTTCTTTTCCCTTTCATTTCTTTTTTCATAGAAACAGGTTATCTTATTTGTAAGCATAAGATTTAGTTATAGATCCAATCGATTAGAATCGATATACCGACAGGGTTAGGAATGATTTTAATTGCGTCACAGCGCACTCTGTTCGAAAGATGCATACTTATACGCATTAAACGGTTATTAGCAGTGCTACGATTAAGTGAGTGCACGTGTATCGTTTCCTGTTCTTTTCGTATATATTTATGTTCAGTCCATTTGTTATTTCTGTTAAATAATATAACACATAGCTCAAGGACTTGGAGAAGGAGAAGAGGTATGTGCACGAATGTCTTTTTATTCGAATATCTTAACCTACACGACTCGGTTAACCGAACATTAACCTATATGATTGCAACATCGTGTCCGCGTCAACGAATGAAAAACTTGTTTCCAATTACTTAATTACTGTTTGCAATACGCATAGAACGAACAATTGCGTGGATTATCGTACAGATAAATCTTTATTAATCGTCGTTAGAGTTACTGGAAATCCAGGCGAAGAAAAAGAAACATTATAGGTTATTTGCCATCGATTTATAGATTCTATCGAGAACAAACAAGTGATCTCTAATTTAAAGTGCTGTTTGTTAATGATAATTCTTTATATGATACGAAGGTCAGTTGTTTGACAGGGATTTATGTGTCTCGCGAAATATATGAAACGAAAAATTGTTTCTATCGCGGTTATGTGCATACCAATTTCGACCAAAAGATTAGGATGCAAATAATTCTTGAAAGGTGTTTTTCGGTATCTTTAATAGAAATAGGTGTTTATTTCGGTTTGTTGAAAACGTGGTTTCGCGTAATTGTTGAAACGTAACGATAAAACGATTGTAGGGATATTAATTGTCAGTGGCAAAGAAGCGATTTATAGATTCTGTTTCGAGGGAATATCGACGTCCACGAGACTGACAGTGCAATGAGTGGTCGTATATGAGTTTCTCGGGATGTAAAAATCGATGGAACGTAGAGGGCCTAATATATCACGATTTATTTAGCGATAGATCGTCCGAAAGATACTCGCAATGAAACGGCGCGTCGAGTTACATTGTACGCTCCTTTCACTCCCGTCTATCCCATAAAAGTCCCAATAATAATTTCTGATGTTTTCCGATGCAACATGTTTGATTTAGTGTCGGACATTTTGTGATCGCATATCTGCCTCGTAAATCTCTCCGCGGTGGCGCCACTGCATAAAAATATCAAACGTCGATGTGTCCGCGTTCAACCCCAATCCCACGTAAAATATTGCCCGTGATTCCGCGCGACGGAAATAGCCTTTCATTCCTGGCTGCCTGATAATTCCAGAATTTCGCGATTTATACTCCGAAAGGTTATAAAAGATACGCCCGATTGCGTGTTATTATTAATTGCTGCGCGCCACGATAAAGTGAAACGTTTAGTTTTAAAAAATGCCCTCAAACGAATATCGGAGGACTGGCTCGGAATATACGGTAAGATTATTCGGCCAGATTAATCGGTATTCAAATTGAAAACGCCCCGTAGGAGACGGAAAATAAAACTTCCGCGGCCATCAACGTCTCTATCGCGTATACTAATTACGCCGGAACTCACTGATTTCAGTATTTGCTTCCTGTCGTTCTCTGATTGATCGGATCGTACGTTACAATGATAAACCTTCGGTACGTTTCTGTTGTTCGTGATTCGTTAGTCTAAAAAAAAAAAAAAAATATTTTTGTTTTATGTTACATCGATCTACATTTCAATGTAAATTTGCCCAGATTGCCGTGAATTAAGCAACGACATCTTTCGTCAAATGAGTCACGTCGAGGTAATTACTATTATTTTTTCCCTTTAGCATATAATGTAAACTGGACAAAGCAGAGATCTGTGTTGTTCATTTTTCACTTTTGTAACGTTTGTCTTAGATAAATCTTACGTAAATGTCCATATTAATGCGTTCGTTTACATTTCAGATGTTAAATAGTGGATTATTTTATTTGAAAATGAGATTAAGAATCAGGAGAATTACGTTGATCTTCTTGCCTTTTTAGAAAGGATCGAACGCAGCATTTTTAGCTCGAAGTTTCTCAGAATAAGGTTATGGTGCACGATACGTGTTTCCGCGGTTGCAAAATCGGTAGGTGGCGGGTCGATCTTATTTATCGATCGAATCGTTCGACTATCGAACGAGGTACTTACGGACCGGTGGATGCATTTATCTCAGTGACGTCATCGTGACGCACGAGTGGTTGAAATGATAAGTAATGATGTTAATAAATAGCGTAGAGTCTGCATCGGCGCAAATAGGGAATCGCAGAGTAGAGAGCCCCTCGGCTCGTTGGATCAGGGGTCGCGCGTGAAAACGGGCCTGCGTGTGTACTAATCGTGGCGGAAAGGGTGCCATGAGTTATGAGTGCTCTATGATATCAATGCATCAATTTGACTAAACGAAGGATTAATTTAATAACAAGTCAGCAGATGAGTAGTCGGATGATAAATAGAGAAGGGAAGAATGGCGAACGATTTTTAAAGGGGGGTTTGGGTGGGTGTAAACTTACGTTCTTTTCTTTCCCAGCATCGATGATTTTCGATCGAAAGATATAAAATTTCTCAATTATCGTGGAAAAGAGTTTCGAACGATACGTCATAGCGTAACTATACTTCTTTAGTTCAATATCTAGCAATTTACAACGGTATCGAAGATTTTTGTGAAGGGGGTTGATGCTGAAATTTTTCGTCGAAAAAAAAATTTTCAAATCGTCCTGGAAAAATTATTTTTGCTTGTGGGGGTTAATTACAATCATTTTTGTTGAATAAACATACCCCCGAAATCCTATGCATTTTCGAGAAAAAAATTCTTTACCGAAAATGCAATGTCTGAATTTGACTTTATTTTTATAATAATATTGTACATGGTTTGAACATTGAATGCAAGAAGTGGCTCGTGGGATGGATACAAAGTAGGGGGAGGGGGGGTCCTTCAATTTGCGAAACTGATGCAGTAAGTTAAGGGTGGTTAGGGTGTCCATGGACAAGGGGAAAATCCCCTAGTTATGCCCGTAACAAAGTCAGCCTCTGCTTCAATATTGTCGTAATCGCCGTTATTATTGTATTGTCAATCATGCGTTATTCCGCTCGAGGTGGAATATTGCTGGATCAAATTATTCAAGCGACCCGCCTTGGATCAATTTCTAACAGAAAAGTAATATTCCTACGAACGGTCCAGGAAGCACATTTTATTATAGGACAATAAAATAAGTAGTTATGGAACTATAACACGTGTATAGGATATGGACTGTTCATTATTCGACTGGAAGTGTAAGAATGGAGATAAAACAACGTCGAAT